AAGACTAACCCAACATCGAAGCTTGAATGCTGGGTAGATCCGACTTCTACCACAGGCGGTGGTCAAAACAAGATCATGGAGCAGATCGGCAAGAAACTACAGGAGCAATATGAGACCTTGAGTCTTCGGACAAGATACAAACAGTATCTAGATCCATCAGTTGACGAGACCAAGAAATTTTGTATCTCGCTTCGCCGAAATGCCAAGGACGAGCGAGTACTTCTACATTACAATGGACACGGAGTGCCATTGCCAACTCAGTCGGGTGAAATCTGGGTCTTCAACAAGAATTATACCCAGTATATCCCTGTCCCACTGTATGATCTGCAGTCTTGGTTAGCTGGGCCTAGTCTTTTTGTCTTTGATGTTTCACATGCGGGCAACATTGTCCAAAATTTCCATACTTTCGTGGAGAAGCATGAGAAAGAGAATATTGAGACTAAGAAACGAGACCCGAATGCTGTCATTCAGAATTATGGTGACTGCATCCTCCTCGCTGCGTGCCAGAAGACGGAGTCCCTTCCAACCAATCCCGACCTACCTGCAGACCTATTCACCTGTTGCTTAACAACGCCGATTGAAATTGCATTGCGCTTTTTTATCTTGCAGAACCCTCTACGCACAAACATCTCCATTGATGACTTCCGAGTTCCCGGTCGACTTCAAGATCGTCGAAGTCCTCTTGGAGAATTGAATTGGATCTTCACTGCAATTACCGATACGATTGCATGGAACACCTTACCTCGGGCTTTATTCAAGAAGCTCTTCCGGCAGGATCTAATGGTTGCTGCTCTTTTCCGCAACTTTTTGCTCAGTGAACGCATCATGCGCACATACAAATGCCATCCGATCTCTTCGCCCGAGTTGCCAGACACACACCATCACCCTCTATGGAAAAGCTGGGACCTTGCAGTCGAGATGGTGTTATCTCAGTTACCTGCTCTCATTGATCAAGAAGAAGGGCGTCGACAGTACGAGTACCAACACTCCACATTCTTCGCCGAGCAACTCACTGCTTTTGAGGTATATCTCTCTTCTGGTCCTACTGAGAAGAATCCGCCAGATCAGCTTCCTATTGTCCTCCAAGTGCTCCTTAGTCAGGCACACCGCTTGCGGGCCTTGATCCTTTTGAGCAAATTCTTGGACCTCGGTCCATGGGCTGTCCACCTTGCACTCAGTATTGGCATCTTTCCCTATGTCGTTAAATTGCTGCAATCAGCTGCTCAAGAATTGAAGCCTGTTATGGTTTTCATTTGGGCGAGAATTATGGCAGTCGACCACACTGTACAAAACGATCTACTCAAAGACAACGGCATCCACTACTTTATCTCAATTCTGAACCCTTCTTCGCCCATTCCTGTGGGAAATGCCAGCGAACACCGGGCCATGTGTGCTTTCATAGTCTCGATCTTCTGCAAAAACTACCCCCAGGGACAGAACGTCTGCCTCTCTGGTGAGTTGTTTGATTCGTGCCTAAGGCATCTTGGCGATGTGGAAAATCCCCTGCTACGGCAATGGTCTTGTCTATGTCTCAGTATGCTCTGGTGCGATTTCCCTGAAGCAAAGTGGATGGGAATTCGATGTGCAGCCCCCGCAAGGCTGTGCGAGTTGAATTTTGACCCCGTACCCGAAGTTCGTGCTGCTATGCTTCATGCTGTGACGACGTTCTTGGGAATTCCAGATCTGACAGACCAAGTTGCACAAATCGAGGAGACTTTAGCACTGGCAGTCTTACCCATGTCTGCCGATGGAAGTGTAGTTGTTAGGAAGGAGCTGCTAGTATTCTTCTCAACGTTTGTCAGACGTCACCAAAACAAATTCTTGGTCGCAGCATTTGAGGAGCTCGAGGAAGAAAAGCGATCGTTGACTCATCGCTTGGAGAGCGAAACCTCTCAGACTAGTCGCCCCGAAGGAAAGACTGGAACATTAGTCTCTCATGCGAAACAGCCCCAGCTGTCTCGCAATACGACGTTCGGGACTATCTGGAAACAGCTGCTAGCTCTCTCAGTTGACCCTCATCCCGACATCGCTCAGGATGCTGCCGTTATCGTTGATTACATCCACCTTGCTTTATTGGACTCTCCAATGGCGCCCCTCACTAACAAGCTTCAGAATGAGATTCTGGAAATCACAGGGTTGACAAAACTCCAAACCCGCGAGCGAACCGAGGCAAAGAAAACTGTGCCGCCTTCGACACCTCCCTTGTCTGGAGCAGCAACCTCGAAACAAGAAGGCTATCTTTCTTTGGGTTTTAGGCGAACTGCCAGTGTCGCTGCTTCCCTGAAGAACCTTGCTTTTGGCAATTCAACAACAGGAGACCCATCTTCAGATAGTTCGAACCCTCCCTCGCCTTCAACTAGCCGTATGACAATTACTCCCCGCGGCCGGGCCCCCGCCGAGTGGACTCGACCCCCTGAAGTAAATGATCATGTTGCTCCCGCAGCGGCATACAACCAGGCTCCGATTCCCACATCCCGAGGCTTTGAACCCAAAGGCTTGGATGTTGTGCCGATTATTCCCCTAAATAGTAGATTCCTAGACTGGTCCACGGAGGTAATCCCGGATTTTGAATCCATCAAGTCCCACAACCATTATTACCTACATTTACTCACCATTTACCAGTATTTCCGGGAGCCCCAAATGAAGCCCAACGAGCCGGATGAGCCCGGTAGCTCGGACTACAACCAGCGCCTCTGGAGACGCGGCCGCAATGAAAGGATCATCGCCGAGACCCAGCCCCTCAAAGGAAAGGCTGGAGCGAGCCGATGGGATAACTCGGTTGCTTTGCTATCCAATGGTAGCCAGCCCCACAAGATGTGCTTCCATCAATTCGAGGACCACCTTGCTGTCGCAGATGACCGGGATACAATTTCGTAAGTACCAGCAAGTCACTTGTCTTTGATGTTCTTCTAACCATTGGTTTCGTATAGAATTTGGGATTGGCAGAGCCATAAACGCCTTAACCAATTCTCAAATGGCAACCCGGCCGGATCAAAAATCAACGAGGTTCGATACATCAACGAGGACGACCAGGCATTGCTTATGACTGGATCCTCTGATGGTGTGATCAAACTTTTCCGCCACTACGAGACTACTAAGAATATCGAAGTGGTCACAGCCTTCAGGGCCCTCCCTGAATTGCTTCCAAGCAATCGCAACGCAGGCCTTGTGCTTGATTGGCAGCAAGGTCAGGGCAAAGCTCTGGTTGCGGGTGATGTCAAGGTTATCCGTGTCTGGAATGCTGCTACTGAGGTGTGCACAAACGTAAGTTTTTGATGTCTTGTCTCACATATATATCACGTTACTCACAAAAGCTCAATTATAGGACATTCCGGCACGATCAGGTTCCTGCATCACATCCTTGACGTCTGACCAAGTAGCAGGCAACATATTCGTTGCCGGTTTCGGTGACGGGGCTGTCCGAGTCTTTGATCAACGGTTGAAGCCAACCACATCCATGGTCAAAGTTTGGCGCGAGCACAAGCAATGGATTACAAATGTCCATATGCAGCGTGGTGGTCTACGAGAATTGATATCAGGTGGCCGTAATGGTGAGGTTCGACTTTGGGATCTTCGCATGGATAGCCCGATCTCCACCATCTATGCTACCAAAGACACCCTGCGCACTTTGAGTGTTCATGAGCATGCTCCTGTCTTCAGCATGTAAGTTTCCTCGGCCGCAATATTTCTATATTTTGTTTGTTCAATGCTAACATGACTTAGGGGTACAAATCGTCACGAAGTCAAGACTTTCAATGTGGACGGCACTTACCTTTCTACGTTCGAGCCATACTCGAGCTTCCTTCATCACAACCGATCCTCGCCCATTGCCAGCACTGCCTTCCATCCCCACCGGACTGTGCTTGCCTGCGCAGCATTGAATGACCATCATGTAAACCTCGTGTCCTGCTAATTCCAAGTCAGCTCCGAAATTCATGATACTTTCGTGGCATTTTTTCTTTTTCTTGTCCTAATATTACCCTTTCTGTAATATGCATTCGCATACCCGACGGACAAATCTACACGGCGTCTTGGCGATTGACTTGATCAACCATATATTGATGGCTCTGCGTTGTTGGTTTTTGTTCCCTTGGGGTTGCTTCACTACCCCTTGGTATTTCTGACGAATCCTCTATTTTTCCACTTCATGTGAGATAGTTTACCCAGATTCGGGTCTATGAACTTCTTTTTTTACTGTTCTTGTCCTCTCTCTCTCTCTCTTCTTCGGTTTAAGCAATCTTTTCGTACTAGGTACTAGTCTTGATTTCCAGACGAAAAAACGTATAATATTTGTAATGCCTATGCTCTGCTCACTTTAGCGAAGTGGATACAGAGCACCAGGAGCTGTCCTGTCTTGACTAATAGCAAAACTTAGTTTGATTATTCATTCTATGCTTGTTGGTGACTCTAGACAGCTGCATGAATCTTGGTGTGATCGCTCTAGATATAGTGCAGCAGAACCATAGCGACACACTATAGTTTATCTAGGTATTCCATCAAGGCAGCGCTACAGTGTCTTATGATCGCTATGCAGAGAATAAGACTAGCAGTTTCTTCGTTCTTGGCCTAGATTTGGTTGGATTGAAACGAAGATTAAACCGATATATGTTTCCCCTTCTGACCATTGACCTACAACACAAAGTGCGCCATACCTGAGGGAAGAGTAGAGGCGTGGCGGATATCATAATACCTCCGAACGGACCTCTCATTTACATCATTTTTGATCTGTTACTTTTTGACGTTGTATGCAGATTCTGTCTGGGAAGAGGCTAATTGAGGGCAAAGGTGGTCACGTGCATAGATTTGCAGTAAGTATTAATTATGTCAACGAAAGAAATACCTATGCAGTATATATACCAAAAAACAATTACTGAAAAGATAGATTCGCAGACAGTGATAAAACGGGAAAGAATATTGATATTGTTGGATCATTCTCATAAAATATCAAAATTTAGGAATACAGCTCGTAAAGGTTCATATCACACTCATAAATCAATCGCCTAGTAGTTGCGCTGGCTGCCGAGAGCATCCTTCGCGTTGACACTGGGGTCAAGCTTGTTCAGCAGGTCAGATCCGTGGGGACCAGAGGTGTTTCCAGTCTTGGAGGTTGGTGCGTTGTAGCTGCTGCCTCCACCTCCGTAGTTGTCATTGGCGCCAAAGCCAGACTGTCCAGTGGAGCGGCCAGTGGTGCTGCCGTAGTTGTCGCCTCCAGATACAGCATTGTTGGAGCCATAGCCGGACTGGCCGGTGGAGTGGCCAGTGTTGCTGGAAGCATAGCCGGTCTGTCCAGAAGAGTGGCCGGTGGAGCTACCGTAGTTGTCGCTACCAGACAGAGGGTTGCTGGAGCCATAGCCGGACTGGCCGGTGGAGTGGCCAGTGTTGCTGGAACCATAGCCGGTCTGTCCAGAAGAGTGGCCGGTGGAGCTACCATAGTTGTCGCTACCGGATAGAGGGTTGCTGGAGCCGTAGCCAGTCTCTCCAGTAGAGCGGCCAGTGGTGCTGCCGAATTTATCACCTCCAGATCCAGCATTGCTGGAGCCATAGCCGGTCTGCCCAGAAGAGTGACCTGTGCTGGAGCCGTAGCCGGTTTCTTCGGTAGAGCGGCCAGTGGTGTTGCTGCCGTAGCCTCCAGCACCGGTAGTGGATGTGTTCTCATAGCCGGAGCCAGAGTTTAGGCCGCCAGTGCCGGCGCTCTGGCCACTGCCAGCACCGGTGCCGTAGCCTCCAGAGCCGGCAGTGGATGTGTTCTCATAGCCGGCACCAGAGCCAGAGCCATAAGTGTTGGACCCTGAGTTGGTAGAAGTGTATTTGCTGTTGTCCGCAGTGTTGTTTGAGGATCCGTAAGTATCACGGGCATCTGTATGAATAGAATTATTAGTATCTGTGGGATGTAGCTTTACAAGGAACAACGAACCATCAATCTTGTTGGATGCCTTGGAGGAGTCATAGTTCGAGGTTGACTCCTCATGATGATGACCGGTCACGGCATCCTTGACTTTGTGGATAATGCTCGACATGATGGGTGTAGTACTATGTTGTGATAGTAAGGAATTTTTTGGTGGAAATAGTTGGGATGTTTGAAGTCTGAATTGGGGTTTCAATTCAGATGGTTTATGATAAAAAAAATGAAAGACAAAGTGCTTCGTGTAGGCAGTTTATATGCTTTACTGTCTTTGCTTGCCTTAGTCACATCATGAATAGATCTCTACTTGCGGAGACTGAGTGACGCCATAACGCGGGGGGTTACATGAGTAAAGATCACCATGAGACATGGATCAAAGCTCTTTCATTGTCCCATTTACGGTTGTCATGACGTTCCAAACGGGTTTACACATACAGATCAGTATTCTTGGCCGAAAACGAGGAGAGCTATCAATGTCATTCATCGTCATGGCCCGGATCTATAAGACAAAGAACGCCACTGAGCCAGCTCTTGCAAGGATACCTTGTAGATCCAGATCCACACGGCACCTGTGGACACCCTGAAGGGCTGGGATTTATATTACATAAGTGGGTATAATTTCGTACCAATAATTCTCCGAGATGGGCATTGCTATATCTGGGCGGAAGCTTAGCTACTGGTCTATATTAAGCTAAATAGGAAGAGTCTGCGGCGTTGTTTGTACACTTATCATTCACATAAAACTGCTAGTAGACGTATTCAAGACAGACAAAGAGATTCTAGAATGATTTCTTTAATCTACGCTAGTCCCTTTTGAAATATCTACGTCATGTATATAACGCTAATCCGTATATGGCAAGTGGGGCACGCCTTATCGATCGTCAAGTCCAAAAATATCTTACGGGTGTGTAGTTATATTATTATATTATGTCAAATATTGCATAACGTAGAATGTACTAGAAGACTTAACTAGCTGCCGTAACGTACTATAGTCTATGATATACGTATGTGTATATAATGCCATTTAAACCAAATATCGAAAAGGCGGCAGGGATTACCTGGATTACGTAGTTTCCTGGAGTGATGGCATGATCAGCGGTAGCTCTAGGTCGGGAACCTTGGAACAGATATCAACTTTATATCAACAATATATGTCTGTTATTGCGAGATTTAAAGGATCTCTCTGTCTTGTTAATAGATTCTGATATTGAATTAATTTGCTAGACAAATTATCAATCTCTCTTACAATACTTTTGGAGTCTTTTTCTCAACATATCTTGTATCTTGCATCTTTCGAGCTTTTAAGCACCCAATGCTATAAAGAGAAGATTTCAAGATTATGCAAGTGCTTGAATAAGCTATTATAGCATCAAGCTCTAATATTGGTGCCATTCTAAGGTTGTTTTGAATGTTCCAAGGTTACATGCTATGGATGTAGTTATGCTTAATCAGGTCATGTGATTTGAGGCAGGCCAGACTGATGCCTCAGGTCTCAGGCCTCAAACACATGACACGGCGGGCATGCCGTCACCTGGGCGCTGGGCCGGGGTTAGATAATCCACATCATGAGTTCACTTCCCCTTCTCCACCTGACTGACTTCACTTGGACTCCCCTCTGTTTTTCTATCTTGTCTCCTTGTTCGCTTTGACTTCCCCTGTGCTCGCGCTGGCTGTCATCTGTTGACTTTCTTCAACCAGCCGTAGTGCTGCTCATTGCGCTCGATGAGTGGCCGCCTGCTAGCTTGCCGCCAACCGTTGGATTGGTCATAGAAAGCCCACCCTAAAGTATTGTGGTACAGCGGAGCCGCTGGCATCGTTATCATTCACTCGGTCCACACCATTTTGCTGTAATTAGATAGCCCCGATCGATCCACTCTTCGATTAAAGTGCTTGAAACCCATCTTTCAGAGACATGCGACCGCCACGCTTGCTCCTCGTCCTCTTTTGCCTAATCTTCTTTCCGATCCTCCTCACCTTCTTTTCCGCACTTACATCACCCGATGTAGCAACTCCAAATACGCTCGCTGGTCGGACAACTGGACTGCGCGCTTTCTTTTCTTTCAACATACCATCGTCCCTTTTCCCTCCGTCGGCTATTATCAGTCTCACTGATGACAACTCGACCTTCTTCCTTGCCCGACCAGCGGCATTTGGCCCGCTGCTGCCAACCAAAGGTCTCAGCGGTCAGTTATGGGTGGGAAGTGGCTTTGGTGAGGGGGGATTAGTTGGTGGCGTGGAAGGGGAACTGGGTTGCTCCGATATTCCCGGCTGGGGTGAGGGCGCCAATCATAAGAAACAAGACAAAACCTCTAGGAGCGCGGAGCAGAGCTCCGGCATCTCCGGGGGTAGCACAATGAATGATCGACCATCAAACCGCCCGCGATCAGTGTCGCAGGCCGATACTACACTTCAAAACGATAGAAGTGATCCAATAACCCCGCCCTTGACGAACGACGGCACCGACGATCATCTACATCATCCACTCCCTGAATCCGGAGTTTCCAACCCCGGGATGAGTCAGAAGCATGGGGATTACGTCCAAAACAAGCCTGCTGCGCATGCCGACATCCAATCGTTACAGGAAACTGCCGAAATCCAGGGTAAGGTGGTGCTATTGAGCCGAGGTGGCTGCGGGTTTTTGGAGAAGGCCAAGTGGGCACAACGACGAGGAGGGGTTGCTTTGATTGTCGGCGACGATACTCGAGGTGGCAACTTGGTCACTATGTACGCGCGAGGCGATACATCAAACGTTACGATCCCGGCATTGTTCACATCACACACTACTGCGCATCTTCTATCGTCATTGGTTCCGGGACATGCCAGTGGAACTGCCGGTTTGGGAGATGTGTTAAAATCATCACAAGCGAAGCTAGCAGGACAAGCTGATGCCGACAGAGAACGGGTAGCAACCACTACAGCAACAACAACTATTCCAAGTCCGACTGCCAGCAGCCATTCGGCAGCCAAGGGGAGACCTGCGCCGTCTCACTCGAAAGGGGGATTTTTCCGTGCAATTGGTGCCTTCCTCGGATTGTGCGATAAGAACGGAGGTTCGCAGCATCTGGAAGACAGCCGACGTCCGCCTAGCAGCGGCAACATTGACTGGATCAACCTAGGCTCATGGGATGAAAAAGAAGCCCCATCGAGTGCTTCGAGGAAATCAACGGATCTTAATCATCGTGGTCGGGCCAAAGTGGACGACACATTCGACAGCCACAAGGCCGACATGTCTCCTGAAAGTTTTGAGGATGATGACTTTGTCATCGGGGTTCAGGACTGGAGAGATCCCGACTTGATGCCCCCTAAGAGTAGCACACCCCCGACAACTAGCACCTCTGTAGCTGGCAAGGATACCTCCAAGACTGCCGGTGCGGATAAAGACACCGCTGCCTCGCCTAATGGTCTTCAGGGTGGTAGCATCACACCAGGAAGTGGGGAATATCAGAGCATTGACAAATCTAGTGCCGGTTCTCATGACGCGCGCCTCAAAGGGTCTAATACAGAATCTATTGGAACTCATGGGAAGTCTGGCTCTTCTACAAAAGGCTGGTTCTCAAGTCACTTTGGATGGGGAGATGATACCCAGCAAGACTCTCAGCCTTCTTTGTCGCCCTCATCTCAGAAAAACATTGCAGCAAACCAGAAAATGCAGAATAATCCTCACACATCGAGCCATCTAAGCGGGGAGACTTCCGAGCATGAAGGTCTTTGGGTTACCATGACACCTACCAGCATGTCTACCAGCCCCTTTTTCGATACTCTATTGGTCCTTGTCGTCAGTCCTTTACTCACCCTAACAGTGGTTTATGCCCTTCTGCTGCTCCGGTCTCGAATCCGCCGTCGTCGCTGGCGTGCCCCGAAGTCTGTTATTGAGCGGCTTCCTGTCCGAACATACCACACAATCACTACCACTTCTTCCTCATCTTCCAACTCAACACGTCCCCCTAGTCCCGGTCCTGTCTCCCCAACTTCTCCACTCCTTGGCAATGCAAGTCAACCAAGTGCATCGCGATCAAATAGGTCACGTTCACAAACATTTTCGGGCTCTATGCTAGACTCATCTGTCCTGCCTAAGGAAGAGAAATGCAACTTGCAAAGCGGATCTACCTTGTGGCGACGCAAATACACAGGAAGGCAGGTGGAATGCGTTGTATGCCTTGAGGAATACGTCGATGGTCTGAGTCGGGTCATGAGATTGCCATGTGGCCATGAATTCCATGTGGAATGCATGTAAGTGACATAGAAAAAGTTGGGGTTTGTTCTGACGTTCACTAACCTCACCTCAGTACCCCATGGTTGACTACTCGTCGACGAACTTGTCCAATCTGTAAAGGCGATGTTGTCCGTTCATTGGCCCATTGTCAATCCGGTGATTCCCAGGGTCATAATGAGCAGTCCAATGATGACGTTCACTCTGCCCAGTCAATCTCTCGAGGCAGCGCATCTTCCGCCCCAGTACCAATTGAAGGCATCAATGACGATGATTCAGATACGGAACAAAATGCAGGTCTAGTTAGCGACCATGCAAATTCTGCCCCACAGTCAAGCTGGCGAAACCTGGCTACGCTTAGCTTTTCTGCTCTGAGCGGTGATACCATATGGCACCAGGCTCGCGCGGATCGTAATCGCTAACATTTATATTCTATCCACTCTTTTCGATTTTTTTTTGTTATTTTTCACCATTCCCCCCTCCACCCTCTGGGATTTGCTCTCCTTGTATTGAAGCATGCTGTATTAGCGATGGTTTTGATTTTGTTATGACTTGAATCTGCTTGGCGTTGGGTGAGAACAGTTCGGTGGTTGCAAAGTGCCTGCAAGCATTGTTGAAGCAGCTGGGATATACCGCGGGTCAATCGTTCAAAACTTGTATGTTCTTATGTTTTTGGTAGGATGCCTGAATTCCATTGACACTTGGCTGTCATTCAAACCATATCTTTTTATATCCGTTGACATAACTAAATATCCACTCTATACTAATGCTGTTCAGACTAACATCTCGATTCAACACACCCAGACCCAAAGCTTCATTCCTTCTGGTCAATATAGACATTCCCAGCAATATCCCCAAACACATCAAGCGTATGATCTAGCCGATCACGCACTAATTTAATGCGAGAAATCATATCCCGACCCAATAGCAAGAATTCCTCATTCTCACGCCCAGCACCAACACCCTCGCCAACGACAACTTCACATATCGCCTTGGCAGCTTTTTCCTTATCGCCATCAGCAACATGCTTACCAGCCTGTACAGCATCCAGCATCTGCGTATCCACAGAACCGCCATAGTCCGCCGGTAAAGGATTAGCAGGAGTACGACAACTAGTCCCGAACTGCGTGTTGAACACTCCCAACCACACTGTCAGAAGACGGACATTGAATGGCGCGACTTCTTTAGCGAGTACCTTGCACAACCCTGCAGAATATACACATTAATACATGAACAAGGCATCCCTGAACAGAAAAAGAGAACGAGGACACATACCATCCATAGCAGCCTTCGCCGCGGCATAAGCACCCATACGCTCCCTCCCTTCCAACCCAGCCCCAGAACTAACATTAACAACAATCCCAAACCGTCTCTCCCTCATCCCAGGCATAATAGCTCTAATCAGCCGACCTGGTCCAAAATACACGGTCTCCATTTGGCCCCGCAGCTCCTCGTCCGAGAACTGCTCCACTGCCCCGAGGATCGCGTTTCCGGCATTGTTGACCAGCACGTCAATTTTGTGGCCTGCAGACTCGAGTTTGGATAGCAACTCAGAAGCTGCGGTTGGGCTGTCGACGTCCAGTGCGTGCCATTCGCCCCCGTTTTGGGTTATCTCAGACACTAGCTCTGGGGTGCGAGAGGGTTGTCGTGATGTTGCGATTACCGTGTGGCCGTTTGATTGGGCAGCCCGTACTAGCGAGAGACCTAGGCCTGAGGAACAGCCCGTTATTAGCCACGTTAGGGGGCGGTTGGGTTTGGTAAAGGTTGGTGCTTGGGTGGCCATGGTTGTTGCGTGATTGACGTTGGATGATGGATGATGGTGGTGAAAGCCTGACTTTTGTGTCGTGATGATGATCTTCAAAAGACTTATGAGTAGGATATATAGTATTACCAGGATGGCAAGGCTCTTTTATATCCCATTCTTGCTACCGCAAGCTTCGGACTTAGGGCTACTCCGACGGAGTTAATACAGTCTGTGCGTCTGAATCCTGATGCTTATCACCTATTATTGCATTTCAGAAAGGAATTATGACCTTATTGGTAGCAAATGTACGGAGTACTGAAGTTGGCGTCCGATTGTTGGCAAAGATCGTCGGTTTGACGTGATATCCAACCATTTTCGGTACAACCTCGGAGGACAAGTTGATAAATACGTTGTCATAATTTCTACACTGTGGTCAATGACTAAAATACAAGGCCCTAGCACCACGATCCATATGAACATGCAAGTCAAAAACATACAAAGTGAAACCCGAAAAATAAGAAGCAACCCATTCCCGAAAGAAGCGCAGTCAATGAATGCTATGTTTAGCACGACCCCGGCACACACGACAAGCTACAACCAAACCGTTTGAACGGCAAAGGCCGAAGCTTCTCACCAGGACAGCGAGGCATCTTCATCCCATTCTCACATGGAGTGATATCCCACCACTCCATCCATTCTGTGCGGGGAATTATGTATTCTCGCTGACATACGGAGCAGGGCTGTCCACCTGCAGCGCGTACTTCCCTTGCTCGTTGCAATAAGGGCACTATCAGCGCCGGATACTCAGCTAGCTCTTCGTCGGTGGTTTGTTCCAGGTAGGGGAGCTTGCTCACTGCGCGGAGCGCGACTTCGCGTAGGGACGGGGCGTTGTTTACAGGTGATGCGGGTCCTGACGGTGCGAGGGTGAGTCTGTTGTGGGATGAGCTGTCCCCCATGGTATTGCCCTCCATATTCATGTAGGTGATTGGGCTTGTTGCGACGTAGATAGGGGTCCAGCCCTCGTTGAGAGAAGATTCCTGTTCTTGGAATTGGAGTGGAAGAGATGAATCCTCATCATTCTCTGAATCCTCGTCGTTCTCTGCTTCCTTTTTATAGTTCGATTTGTAGTGCCATTCTGCGATCTGCGCTTCTTCGATTTGGATGAATGGATTCGGGCGTACGATCAGGTGTTTTAGTTCACCTTGCTGCGTGAGTTTGAGAATCTCCCAGGGAAGGTAGGTCAATTGGTTGACTGAAAGGTTTAGGACTTCCAGTGCTGCCAGTCTGCGGATTTTAGATGGGATTTCGGTCAACCTGTTGTTGCGCAAGCTGAGGACTTTGAGGTTGTTGAGCTCGAAGAGATCGTTGTGTAGGGTTGATAGGGAATTGTTGGGGAGATATATGTGAAGGGATGACTGCAGAGATGTGAAGACGTTCTCTGAGACTGGGGCTTCCTTGACTGATGGAAGCTTCGTCAGGTGTTGTAGAGGTCGCAGAAGACCGGATGGTATCGTTTTCAGATGGAAGTCGCTGCGTAGAAAGGGGCCATTAGGATCATTGGCTCGGATTCAAGGGATATAGGATGAAACTAAAACATCAGATGAAACTGAAACATACCCTAGATCAATGCTCTCGTGTCCCTTATCAAGGCAATCGCTGACAACCTCCCGCGCAAACCGATGGGCCTCGGACTCTTCAGGACTTTTAAACACAACACGAGTGTGCGCAGGTATGCTCTCCGCCTCGACAAGGAAAGGTGTAGAGCCAGATTTTCTAGGATCAAGCACAGACTTGCGCAAGTCTTCCCCCCACGCCGAGCCATCCTCCGACGGCAAAAGCGAGTCAGCACCAGACTCATCACTTCCCATCCACACACCACTGTCGACGTTTCTCTTATCCTTAAAGTCCGCCCGTTTCCGCTTCGGATCTAGCACCTGTTCCCCCCACCAGGTCCCGCGATACCGACGTTTCCGGCCCGCGCCTGACACTGTCGCATGGTAGTTCTCCAGCCCGGAAGCTGGAATATCGTCACTGGAGAAGAGCGCAGGATCACTAGATGGCTGGCTAGAGCGGTCATCGAAGCGAGACAATTGCTGCGCGCGCTGGACCGAGGAAACTGCTATGCCTGTTGAGGGGTTCGTGGTCGCTGGCGAGCGGTGCCGGATTCGCCGTGGCGGTGGGAGAGGAATCTCGCTGTCCATTGCGATTTCGGTTCGCAGGTTCAGACCAGTCTCTTGTTGTTTGAGACCAGGCTCATTGGGATTTTATCCAAACCCAGTTTTATCTGGTGTTCGGGGTTGCGCGACGCGTTGTGGAGACCCGCAATGGATAGGTCAACAAACGCGCTAATAGCGCGATTGGGGGGTAGATTGGGGAGATAAGAGGTTGAGATCTGCGAATGGTATCAATTGAGAGGCCTCTTATGTTTAAGAAGAGAAAAAATTCCCAGATTCCAGGTTGGAATGGAAAAAGATCAGATCAAAAGATAAGATCAGATCAGATCACACGTGCACGGGCATCAGTTGACCCCGGAGCTGACGGCTTCCCCACTGGAATGTTGGATCGACATGATTTTCTCTATTTTTCTAATGCTTGCTACTGCTGCTATTCACAGTTGAAATGGGTATCAAAGGAGGAAAGAAAAAAAAAGTGCCTATATTCTGTGAATGACTCAAAAGCCGACTCATGCAAGTCCTGGATTCAACAAGACCAGTCCGACAAAGTAAGTCACCCATGACAACGTATATGGACAAACGAATTGAATAAACGGGGTTTGAAGAAGTGAATAATAACATCAACTCATATCGGTCCAAAAAAATTCATAATGAATAAAAAGAAAAGGGGGTATTTGAAAAAGCGTTAAACCGTTTCCTCTCCGAAAATAGGTTCTCCAGCTAACCGAGAGGAATAGAAATGTGAAAGTATAAGAAGAAAAAAAAAGAAGAAAAGAAGATCCCGGCTCTGCTGGAGATGAACGGTAGCCAACAAGGCAGCATGCAGTATGAATGGGAGCGGTATTAGCAATAGCCCTGATTCATGAACGTTGCCTGTATGAAGGATTCTTGTTGGTCAATCGCCAAATCGCGTGCAATTACAGGGCTTGGCCCAACATCACAACGATATAGCCAGCGGCGGCCAAGGCAGCTGGCATGCCAGCGCCAATGTTGGCTGCTGCGCCAGTCGAGGTGGCGGCAGCGGCAGAAGAAGTGGTGGAGGTTGCGTGAGACAGAGGAGTCGAAGTCGAAGCAGACATGGTGGAAATACTGCTTGCGCTGGCACTTGCAGAACCTGCGCTGGAACTCGCGCCGGAACTAGGAGTTGGGGTCACCGAGTTGACGCGAATCAGAGTCTTCGTGATGGTCATGGTTGCAGTTGAAGTGATATCCTCCTCTGCGGCGACGAATGGAGCCGCGACCAGGCAGAGGGAGGCGATGATGGCAGTGAACTTCATTTTGCAAATTGATTTGAAAAGTGAATATCAATATGGAATGAGGGAGCAAGGTGATTTGAATTAGATTCAAGGTTCGCGATGAAACGTTGATGTGACGCGAAGTATGAGAACTTGATCGAATAGGTATGTTTCAGATTTGATCGCAAAAGAGTGAGCGTCAAAAATAAAATCGAAGTAAAGATCGTGGAGAGCACTGCTCAGATAGTATAAAATGAATGAAATGAGTGTATATGAGAGAAATCTCTAATGCGCCTAAGAAGGAAAAGAGGAAATTTTACCAGGGTGGCAGGCTAAATAACAAGACCAAGCACGAGCACCTTGAACCTGGGGAAAACGAGCCATTCGCCCATCAAAGAAACCTTGTGGCGCATGTGTTTTTCTGTTTCCTTATATTATTATTGATTTCCAAGTGCAATATGACTCTCCTATTGGTTCGTTGAACACGCGGACCCTGAGACCATGCAAGATTGGGCTCCATCCTGACCGAACTATGAAATTGGGAGCCCTAAAGCCAGAGGGCCTTCCGCACAGACTAACAACGCCAGGGGTAGAAGTTTGTGTTTATTCGTATAGACCGTCAAAGACTGTCAAATACCAAAAGACATGTTTATATTCTCATTGACATGCATCTCCCAATTTCAATCAGGAAAGCCTGAGGGTTCGCCTTCACTTGGCCCCATAGACCCGTGTCCCTCAGTTGCAGGGTAGTAATACGAGAATTATTCGCCTAGGTATACTCCATAGGTGTAATTTCGGCACTTCCCAATCCCAGTTGAGGAAATTTCCTCATTCAACTACGAACCCATTTTTGTCGCCAGGTGTTTCCATAAGCGCTTTGTTTACTCCGTATTTTGCTTGAACTGGCTAATTTTACCTATTTTACTGTCTAATTTGCTGTTTTACTCTTTCTTATCACCCTTACATAATAGAGTGACGATTCTCACTGAGTATCACACTACTGCAAGTGCTCACTCCCTCACGGGGACTTCCCGTTGGTTCCGGACCCCTGGCATCATGCGCAGGAACAACGATCTGTGATTAGGTGGTTGATATTTGATCTTCAACATAACAATAACAGACAATAGTTATATGTTGGGATATTTGACTTGGATCTTGATCTTGTAATTTATACAAAGTACATATACCTTGTGAAATGATTCCGGTTCCTCCGTTGGCCAAGACTGAAATTTGCCTCAATTTTGCCCCCACACTATTGAGAACAGACTTTTTTTTTCTCCCCTGTTCTAGTACATGTACTCTCTGTGGATCGCTTTCGTGGTTCCATTCAGGAACGAACGATCATCGCTTGAGCCTACTGTGTTAGGAATCTCTGTACATATGTTGTAAAAGTGTATGGGGAGGAACGGTGAGTCATTCTATGTTAGTTATCTCCAGGGCTATATTATGTCATTTATATTCTTAATCTTAGTTAACTAGTTATAGTATATTTTAATGAACACGTTCTGCTGAGTTGGCATGAGACGAACATGTCATTGTTGAAAGAGGGGTCTTTTTCAGGGGCTCTCTTTAGGCTCGCAAAGCCTCATATCCTCCCCCCCCCACTCTGAACACGAACCTCTGTGTCGATCGACTTGAAAGTTAAGATCATTATCCTTCCACACCAATCTGTCAAGGTCATTTGGACACAAAAAAAAGAAAGGGGGCGATTAAAACCTAGTGGAAAGGGATGGTCATTATTCCTTTCTGGCTTAGTGCTCAATCTTACTTTCTGTTCAATAAGATTGCGTGCATGGAGATGCATGAAGATAGCCCAAAACAAGGGCAAATAGACGGTGGTTGGTTGGTCACCAGGCATCTTACCTGGGTAATCAATGCCTATTAAATAAGGCAACGTTTTCAGGGCGAAGGTCTTGTATTGAAATAATCAAATTGATTAGTTATACGAGTACTAGCTAAAGACTAGGGTGTGTAGATGTATTTATTCCTAGTTGCTAAGGTGCTTTAGCTACTACTACGGAGTAGTATTTACTTGAATGATGCCCCTTCGGTCTTGGTTATAAGCCTGTGCTTAGGAAATAGCAGTTTTTTAACCCGATACTGTAAGGGCTAGATGGGATATATATCGGCAACTACGGAGTACAGATCAACAGTTTATCAATCCTTGAAATGACATGTTCTTAACTACAACCGAGGCCGATACACACTACAGACGTGAATTGATACATCTGTTGGTTTCTACATATATATTAGACCTATAGCACGGAAATTATATTGTACATAACGATATCTCCGTGCAATATAGGCAGCAGCTGACGCTAGAATTGGACAAAACCCTCGGCTCTATGACACTGGGAATTACCGGTCACGCTATCTTCGATACGATATGTGATGGGCTATAGGATGCTTCCCTATCTTATAGATCTCCAAGTAAAGATTGCATGTAGTATTAAAAGCTCAAGTATATCATGATTGTCAATTTAATTAGTACATCCATTTTAGATTATCTTCCCAGCCTTGTTATCTCTAATCATTCTATATCTCTCGCCTACAGCGCAGGTTTCCCACATTTGACACCCCCGAACTGATTCTGCCAGAGGTTCCGATATCTTCCACCCTCCTTCTTCATCAGCTCTTGGTGTGACCCGCTCTCGACAATCTGTCCTTCGTGCACAACAAGGATCCTATCGGCGCTGGAAATGGTTGAAAGTCGATGTGCAATGACAAATGTAGTTCGCTTGGCTCTCAATCGATCCAATGCAACCTGTATATCCGATTCTGTGTTCGAGTCTACGGCACTCGTTGCTTCATCCAGCAGGAGAATCGGTGACTTCTTTAGGAAAACTCGAGCAATGGCTATCCGCTGTAGTTCACCGCCAGACAGCTTGACGCCCTGCTCTCCGACGGTGGTGTTGTATCCGTCCACGAAAGTGAGAATTTTCTCGTGAATAGCTGCAGCACGACATGCTTCGTGAACCTCTTCATCTGTGGCAAAGGGCCGGGCATACCGCAAATTCTCGATGATAGACGCATTAAACAAGACAGGGTCTTGTGGAACGACACCAATAGTCTGGCGTAGCGAGCTGAGGGTTATGTCACGGATGTCTTGCCCATCAATCTCGATTTGGCCCGAAGTAACGTCATAAAGCCGGAGAAGAAGTCTAAGAATTGTTGTCTTTCCTGAACCAGTCATACCGACTAATGCAACTGTTGTCCCGGGTTCGATAGTAATATCCACGTCCTTGAGAGTTTTTAACCGAGAATCATAAGCAAAGTCAACATGGTTGAATGAAACACGGCCATTGCCAGATTTGAGTGGCATGGCATTCTCCTTTTCATTGACGCTGGGCTTAGACTGAAATAGGAAGAGTAGCCGCTCGGCATCAACTAGGTCAGAGACTAGCCAACGATATTGCGCAGAGAGATAGGCCAAAGGAGAGATGAGCGAAGACCAATACTGAATAAAGAAAACAAAGTCTCCCGTAGAGGAACGTCCCACAGAGATCTCATGTACGATGAGCGAGGAGAGACCAACGAAACAAATTGGCTTGAGCAAATCCAGGAGTGACTTGCCGATTGCTCGGCGTCGACCAAAACGAGCGCTAGCCTGCAAGCATAGGTCAACTGCTTCTCCAAAGCGAGACCTCTCGTACGAGAATTGATTAAAGTATGTGACAGTTTGCCAGCCTTGCACAGCCTGGTGCATAATGCGAGTTTCGTTTCGCTGTGTCTGTGTAACTTCACGTCTGGCGTCCATGTTCCAGTTAGAGGTAAAGACCTCTACCGCAACATAAGCAATAGATACTACCACCACCAGAAAGGGAGGCGTAGACATTGAACTTCAAATAGAAAACAACACATGCAATAGCCAAGTCAGCCACTGTCGGGACGATATCTAGAATCGCAACTTCTAATAGATTGTTCAGCGCTCCACCTTGATCGATGGACTTCATAACTTCCGCCGAGTCATTTTCGATATGAAAGTCCATTGATAGATTCATCACATGGCCAAAGGCAGCGTTGGTAATCTGACGGTAAGAGAACTGCCTGATTGGAATCTTGACGAGCGACTCAATCAATCCTAGCCCAGCTCCTCCACGGATGAGCTGTAGGAGCGCCCATTTTCCTAATGATGCATATGGGGTTTTGTTGGCAAAGATGCTATCGGTCACATCTGCTAGTTGCTGAGGAATGAGGATATTCAGGGCACGGTGGCATACTAGACAAAAGATGCTGGTAGCAATACAAAGCTGCACTTTGGGATTCTTTCTGGGGATCAAATAGGGCAAAAAGATCGAGAAGCCTTTCAAATAATCCCACCAGCCCCCAATAGACTGTAATTTCTCATTGCGAAGTCTTTTCCTGCGTGTGGCCGCATCATTCTTAGTTTTTCCGGTGTCCGAATCGCTCTCGCTCTTGGAGTCCTCGCTGCTATTTTCCGAGTCGTTGCCATTCGCTGCGCCATATCTTGTATGATTACCATTTAGGAAAGGTCGCGATTCTTCAGAGGGCTTTTTCTTCCTCTGTCTGGTTTCAAATAGGATCGCACTTGTCACAAATACAAGCAGTGCAAGCCGGACTGTTGAGATGGTGATCTGCGTGATTGGTACCCACTGGCTCGGCTTGGGACACAAGGAGAGCGCAAGGAGTGGAACTTCGAAACCAGCGGTGACCAGCGATGTTCCAGCCACTTCATAATTTGAAGGATTTTGTCGTAGCCAAAGTGCAGTCCATACAACTGCTTGAGAGGTCATATGCACAAGGAACGGCTGAGAAAGGTCCAGGTCATCGGTGGCGATTTTCAAAACTGTCTGACTGACATATGTGAAAATGATCAAGGCAGTCAAGACAACTCGGGGTCGATTGCAGCGCTTGCGAGACTTTCTTTTCTTTACCGGGGCGCGATTAAATAAAATGCAGATCACAATGTAGAGACTTGCTATCAAAGTACAGCTATAATGAAGGGCCCGAGATACTAGCTGAGTAGTCATGATGAGAGGTTGGGACGGAGGCTCTGTCAAGGAAGCACCCCCCTACCAGAGATACTTTCTTATATATACCACAAATTTGAGCCGCACATGATGTCCTACACCTAAGCAATTTCTCATTGGATGGGTATAATTAACCATCACGAAGTTGGCTGTGCTAGGGGGCTGGGATGGCAAGGAAGGATGTCCTAGCGCCCATCAAAACAAGACTGGACTGTGAACTTAGGCCTGGGAGGGAAAAAAAAGTCTTTCATTATTGGGCAATCTACGGATCGAAATGGAATACAGATGCCCGCCTACACCGTATATTGTGCCCCTTTACGCTTTGGTTGGCGAATAGGTATGCCTATGTACATAGCTATGTACCTGCTTTGTATCCGGTAGAGTATGTAGACATATAGGGGGTCTGACTGTGTTTTCGGTGAATCATTTTAAGGACACGGAGCTCAAAGTAAGCAGTAAGGTATTAATCCTCATTATAACACTTCTGATATCTGTTCCCCATGCTCTTCTAATACTGCAATCATATCTGTGACATCCAGTCGCCTTCGTTGGCCGCACTCTGCCTCTACAAAGTTCTACCCGCATATCTGCACATATCAATCTAAAAGAGTATGTATGGTTTCCAGCTTTGAATAATCTGAGATTAAATCTCCACTTGAACTCCCCGAGAGCGGTTGGAACAGCAATCCAATATCTCTGCATCTGGTTTCGGGATTTACCGGACAAACGGAAACCACTGGTACAGCTGCCTATCTGATGAATAGTTGTAACTGGATATGGCTCCTCTAAAAGGAGAGTGTTTGGGCTTTGAGGATATTTTCTACACCTTTTGGTGATTATAATCAAGGTAAGGCAGAAAACAATGATACATCACTATAGACGAGAATCCTAGTAAATTCAAGGTTTACGAGCCTTTGGAATGCTGTTTAACGTGGGGATTGGAGTTGACCCCAGGTTTACATTTGAGCCGCAACTTCCAAGCCCGGTCTGAAACAAAATAAGCGCCAGTTCAGTCATCTAATATGACGGGCAGCTGGCTGCGACTTTATCAAAAGCTTGGTAATCAACGTGGTCATCCATTCAGAACCAACCAGATCTTGCTCTAGGTTTGAACCAACAAGGGTAGTCAGGCTGGGGCCAATAGGTACATGTAGGGATCTTTGACCTAGTACTTTGTAGATTGCTACATTTGAGCTGCATGCACTTTCCCGTTCCCACGGGAGTTTCCTTCCAATGATAGGACCTGGATCGTTGAAGCCAAAAAAAAAAAAAAACAAGGATATATATTGTCACAATAACGCCTAACATGGTTGGGACAACTGAGGCAATTGAACTTTAACATCCATGTTCTGGTTAACTGCTAGATTATGTACATCGCGTGCTGAAGTAGCAAGTACCCATGAATCTGTCCGTCACAGCCATCTTTGGGTAGTTGTCCTATCTCTCGAAACCACTAGAAAAAAAAGTATCTCTTAACCTTAGAGATTATATCGTACAAAGGACGTCGCCAGGGAGTGGTCATGTCGCATGTTTCCCGAATATAGTCTTGAGACTGCGAGAAAAAAAAAGTTGTGTTCACTGGCGCATTGGCCGGAGGGGGTTCTGTCGGGGGAGCATCATTGGGGGTCCTCGAGCACGCAGCCAGGCATCGTTTCGAGGTCCCTCGGAGCGAATGACACTACCAATGGACATGAAGAGTCTATTTGAAGGAAATTTGATTAGCTAGTGATTCTTAATCAAAGTAGTATAACTTCCAAGCTCAATAAATCAACCATACCCGAAAGTGGCACCTGAACCAAGCATATACTTGCCCAGAGTCCGCATGACACCGTTGGGGCCAGCGCCATACTGGAAGATGGTCACAGTTCCTGCCCCTAGTTAGCTTATACAGTGCATCTTCATTTGGGGACTGAGCGCGACAAACCAATAATGAAGCCCATGATGCCACCAACAGCTGAGAGGGGAGCTATGTTAGCAAAAGCTCTTGGTGAACAAGGCTCAGTTGTTTCGTGATCACATACTGGAACCCATCATGCAGCCCATTTTCACTAAGATCTGTTAGAACATTTGTTTCACATTGTATAGCGTCCCCAAGAAATAAAGAACACCAAGCGGAGTGTGATCTATATCACTAGGGATGTAGATGACATACTCTTGTCGAAAGTTGAGGGAGCGCCCCCTGGGCCCGCTTGGGCGGGAGGTCCAGCAACCACAGGCATTATGGAAAGCTAAAACGAAGCTTGTAAATGAGATAAGAACAGCAGGCAGCAGCTCTGAGCTGAATGAAAGATCCCGTTGTGATAGTCAGGGAATGAGCTCTTTTTCCTCCCCGGCTTGATGCTTCTCCGCTCTAGTCACGTGAGCTTCCAACGGGCCCTTGAATTGCACACGTGCCATATTGGCACGTGACCTATTTTGCCTGGCGGCGTCAAGGGAGTAAGGAAATGAAATGGCCCTCTTGCGCTCTTGCCTGGGTTCCCTTATGGCAGCTATCCCCGATCTCTGATTTCTTTTCCGTTACATCTTCTAAAGGGCTGCCTGAAGCCTGCGCCGAGGCGGCAGTCCCGTCTTGTGCTTCTGTCATTGCCCTGGCGTGAGACCGGTCGCTCATGATTTCCGACCTCTCCACACACTCCCCTTGGTCTTGAAGCACCTATTTTATTCAGTCCTCAATATCTCTCAGTCCACAATTCAGAAGTGAGTTTGCTCCCTAATTCCAATATTGTACTATTTTTTGTGGAGTCGAGGTCTTGCCTCGATCTAGGAGCCAATATATTTGTCTCTCCCCCAAACAGCACTAACGCGACCGTCTTCATTTTAGTCGGGCGACTAAAGCTCCAATCACCCTTGCGCAAATTCAATATCCCCATCCCTCGGACATAAACCGACATTAATAGACGTTGTCTTTTCCCCCTTCAGGCTATCTCAGAATACGGCCCCTTTTAAAATTCGCAACCGTGGACGCGCTCCGTGCTCCGTCTAGATATTCCATTCAGTTGAACCATTCGCATCCTTCTCCATGACTGCCGTGGCATCTCCACCTAGTGTTGAATCGGGATCTCGCTTGGGATGGTACAGCTCTAGTAACGGAGGAGAAGGGGCTCTGTCTTCAGTGAACGCGGAAGACGTCTCACGGATGTTCATGCCACGGAAACACGTTCAACGCTCAAACTCCTCTTCCTCTCTGGGATCAAACTCTTCGACATCTTCCACATCTACTGTGGCCGCCTCTCCCCAAGATACCCATGCCGCGCAGAGTTCGACCAGTGAATCAGAGACTTGGTCATCATCAAAAAAGAAGTACTCGAAGAATATCTGGCCCAACTCGAAATCCGAGCCAGTATCAGGAGTAACGAACGCGCGATCTCAGGCAGTGCCTGCTTTCTCGTCAGGCCCAAGTGCATCCTCGACAATGTCCGCAATGCATCAACCTTCGAACATTGTCCCATCGCAACATATGCCTCAGTCATCGCAGCAGAATGGCGTTCGTGCGCCAAGCGGCCCGCCATCGGAGAACCCGGCAATTTTGATTCTGTTGCCAATAAACGGCACCTTTGACAGGAAGCAGATCAATGTACCATACTACCCCGAGGTCCTGCGAATCGGGCGACAAACAAACGCCAAAACCGTGCCAACACCTCTCAATGGATTCTTTGACTCTAAAGTGCTATCTCGACAGCATGCTGAGGTATGGGCCGATAAGGCCGGTAAAATCTGGATTCGAGACGTCAAATCCTCAAATGGCACATTTGTGAACGGCCATCGACTATCTCCTGAAAATCGCGAGTCAGAGCCGCACGAACTGCGAGAAAGCGATACCCTAGAGCTGGGCATCGATATCGTCAGCGAGGATCAATCCACCATCGTCCATCACAAAGTTTCATCTAAGGTTGAGCATGCTGGAACCTACGGCACTACCCCTAGTATCCTTGATCTGAACTTTGGGGACTTGGATCCTGCCTCTGGGGGCGGCCTTCTCCCTTCCCCCTTGAGTCAGCCGATTGCCCATATACGCGGTCGAGCCGGTAGTAACGCAAGTAGCAGAAGTGCCCAGAGTGTTACCAACAATCAGCTCAATGCTTTACATCAACAACGGCAAATGAACTACTGGAACTCACCAATCTCCATCGAACAGGTCGTCAAGCGGCTCACGGTGCGAACCACAATCTATCTTAATACTGCATGTTGCTGACTTATTCTAGGGCGAACTGAAATCCGCAAAACAACAAACAACAGATCTTTCTCAAGCAGATGAATTTTTGACGACGATCATGAAACCGGGCTATGCAGAGAAAGAAAAGCTGCCCAAGCCGTCTCCTTTGGAGAACAGCGCCCATCGCCAGATGAACGGCCGTCCTAAAATGCCTCGAGTCGACTCATTTTCAAGATTCTCGGATCCTCCCGCTCCTCCACCTCAACAGCCGCTGCCGGAGAAACCCGATGCGTTGTCACGAAGCATCTCAGAGTCGTTCTCGCCGCTGAAGCGCAGCGATACGGAAAAACCGAAGAGCGGTACAGGCTCTCCTGTCTCCCGCGATTCCAGTCAAATCTTGAATCTCATTGAGGCGCTATCGTCTGCCAAGCGAGAGATTGAAAACCATGGAACACGTGTTAAGGAATTAGAAAATATGCTGTTCCAGGAGCAGGCTGCTCGCAAATTAGCAGAAGAAAAAATCAATGAATTGGAAATGCGCTCCGCATTGGACATTGGAGAAGTCCAAATCGAGAACGGCATTATTCCCCCTTCAGAGAATGGCGGAGACGGAGAGAAGGAGCAGGATAATACAGAAGCAACCGTGCAGGTCAACGGCATCCATCCTTCGGAAACTCCCACTCCCGACGACAGCCAGCCAGAAGCTCTTGTGGAGGACAAGACCGCTGAACTTCAAACTCGCTTGGAGAGTATGATGGAAGAAATGGCAGCGATGAGAAAACAAATGGAATCCTTCAAAGATCGCGCCGAGAAGGCCGAAAATGAGACTACGGAGTCTCGCAAGTCGTTGAACGAAATGATTGAAACCTTGCGCCAGGAACGCGCCGAGAAGGCATCAGCGACGGCACTTGACAAGAAAACTGATACGCACGACCGCGAGCTAAGCAATGGCTTGTTGGAACGCTCGCCTGCGAGCGATGATACTTTAACGGATTCCAAGACGAAGACTCCATCGACGCAGGGCTTCGATCCAGTTACCTCGCAGAGCAAGGATATGGATGCTGCAGCTGCTGCCACGGCCTTTGCAACAAAACGCCACCGATACAATTATGTGGAAGAAGCAAGCCCTTATGCCTCCATGTTCGGTGTGGTCCTATTGGGAGTAGGCCTGATGGCTTATCTCAACGGTTGGCAAAAGATGGAAAAATAAATCAGCTTCGCCTCGCGTGCTATTTCTGGGGTTCCGTAACCTTTTGACTGCTATTTCTATTGCATAGGCCCTTTGCATTGTTCAATTTTTGCCTCCTATCGTTCTCATCAGATTTCAGTTTTCGCCAGTCACGACTTTCTGGCGTTGAATATCCTCCTTGTTCCTCTCTCGGTTGAGGGCCGTTTTCTTGTCTTCATATTCGGAGCCTCTTCCGTTTAGCCCACACTGTCTCTTTTATCTCACGAATTTTTTGATGACTTTCTCGAGATCCCTCCCAGGGATCTCCTTCTTGGTCGTCTTTTTCGACGTCCGTTCCTCCCCCTCTTTCTTCCTATCTCCTTTCTTGTCGTTCTTCTTCTACCTCCTACTATGTTACTATTAGCCTGTCGCCCTCTTCGGAATCGACATCTCTCTTTCTCTTTTGTCTGTACATGATGGGGAAAATAAGGATACGTTCATGACTTGCAGCCTCACTTTGAAACGTTTCGTTCGATGAAAGGCTTTCAGGCATTTCAAGGTTATCATTCGTCGTGTCATGTCAGCACAGGGCTTTGTCAGCGTACCAAGGAGTTTTATTCGTATTATTTCGTTTTTTTATTCATGCCATTTGTTTCTCGCTGGCAGATTCGATGATTCAGGCTCCCTCTTTTAAACCTCTTTTTGATTGGAGTAGTACTGTTACCCTATAGTCCTGTCTCTCTCTCTCTCTGTCTTTCGTTTTTCATACAAGTCTGTCCAGCATCTACAGCGCGTTGGGTTGTTTCGAGTTCGGGTGGAGCATGTGCTCTGGGTAAATCAGAGTTTATTTCCTAAGGACAATTTCGATGTACATGATTTTGTGCTAGGCTAACAACCTAAGGACAAACGAATTGTTCCTTTCCTAATTCTGCTCAAGGACCTTCCAGACCTGTGTAATGTGGATATTCCACCCGTAGAGTATTTGGTACTGGGTATATGCAAGTGATGCAGGACGCTCCGAATTGGGGCTTAGGCTTGACTGCTCCCACAAGCAATATCGCAGAACACCAATCCAGGCAAGGCTTCTGAGCTGGCTTGCTAGGTAGTGTATAGCCACCAGGGGCGTTCCGTTTGGATCGTATTGACTCAGCAGGGTGTGCATGCACTCAATGTCCCAGCTGGCAATTCTGAGTTTGATCAAAGGTTCATAACAATAGCTATGGCCCAGTCAGGGATGTGAAGTTTTGCAGCTCAACATCCTCAGAGCAGCAGATGATAGTCGGACAATCAGATGACTGACTATCGTTGGAGTTTTTTTCCGGAGTGTTCGTGGGCGGATTCACTTGAGGCTGACGGCGACCTCGACCATTTTAATCCACCTCGTCCGGCTCTCAGGGAGCTCGGTGTTATCTTCTACCGCAGCAGCCTGGCGTTTCCTCTTCTTTGCAGCTGACTTGGATTCCGGCTTAGAAGCCGCATCTCCCTGGTCAGTTGAGGCTTCTTCCAGCCGTTGTCGTTTCTGTTCCTCTTTTGCTTTCGTTTCTTCATCCTCAACGATATCATCCACGACAATCACACTGCCTGTATTGACACGGACTGTGTACTCGGTTCCCTTCTCTTCGAACCATTTGGCTACGTTCAGCGCCTTCTCAATTGCCCGTCCTGTCGCCTTCACAAAAACTTCCTCTCGCTTCTCTGATACCTTCGACAGCTCCTCGAGTATCTGTTTCTCGCTCTTACGCGTATCCTCAAGATTGATGTTTCCGGTGGCGCGCTTCTCAGCCTGCAGGAGGAGTTTCTGGACGCGCTTGACGGCACTCATAAATGGCGTGCTCTTGGAGATGTAGACGATCTTGGGCACCGAGGCACCAGCATATGGGGATGCAACTGGTGCATGAGGTATAGGGCGCTTCTCTACTTTGGCATCTGTCATCCAGAAGTCAGCTTTGTGATCTCTGGTTCCCGGTATTGGCCATTGGCCCTAGGCGTCTGGGTGGGAAGGCTCACATTTTGGGAGTTTGATAAGATCCTTGTTCTTTTTCTCAAATTGGAGCTTGTTTTCCAATGGCCCCTTTGCCATGGTTAATATGTGCCTTGCACGAATGAAAAGTTGCGGAGTTAAGCTGTGGTATTGGAGCTGCGCGTCTTATCGTCAGCCTTTTTCTGCCAGGCTGGAGGGGCCGTCCGCCCGGGCGATATGGCTTGCTTATGTCATCTTTTGTTGAAGTGCCCAGGTGGACCTCCAGAGCTCTACTCCGTACATAAATCGGCAAACTATATGATACCCAGCACTCCCCACTAACTTAACGTTAACAGCTTGGTTCATCAGTCAGTTCTATGCATATATGGGTGTTCCTGAAAATAAAAGAGATTACCGAGCGAATCCCCTAGGCAAAGATACGGAGGGCCGGCGGAGGGCCGGCGGCGTGCTAGACCAGTGATCAGGCCATTGCAGTCCCACATTGCAGAAATGGCAATCTGGGGGCACTCCATATGCTGTGCTAGATTGTCTCTTCACACGGAAATACTACAGACTAGCTCTCGGAATTCGCTGGATGCACAGACGCGCCCCAACCCCTCTGTCGGGTTCTTTCTTCAATCAGCCGGGTGCCGACGACACTGATCACAACACACCCGTGGTCAAGTACTAGGCCGGGTATGGGATTATTGAGCAATACTCTGCCCTTGGCAAGGCGGGCATGTGTACGGAGCACCGGAATGGTCACCCACCTGGGTGGGCCGGAATTCCTTTTGATCGGATAGGTTTCTAGGTCCCGGATCACGCTTTGTCGCCTGTTAATTCCTGCGCCGGCTTGTTGCGTTTTGGCGGGAATACAGTCACTCACAATGATACTTCTACTCCATAGAGACTACAGCATATGGAGTAGTGAGCTGCGGACTGCAGATCTTGAACGGCGATGAGCAGTGTGATCTTTCTATGATTCTAAATAAGGCTTTTACCCAGGTGACCCCAGTAGGTTCCCGATTTGTGTAAATATCCCTACGGAGTATGGAGTATACGCATTGGGATTGCCTAGTTGGAGGCTTATTCAAATTTAGGAGGTGTTTGCTTTGTAGCTGGTTAATTTGTAGTAAAGGGGTTTCTTTGTACAATATAGTTTAAAGTGGAGAATGTCAATATGAACACCCTATATTGTAGATACCCAAGGGACCCCTCGGGCATCTTTTCCAATATAATGTCTTTTATAGGTTTTTTCTATCTTTATCCAGGGGCAAGGGATCGTCACATAATTAAAAAAAGGCCCTGAATGTGCTCCGTGCATGGCACAGTTGATCAAAGCTTCAAAAGCACCATTGTCGTCATCGGTACCGAGGCAAAGGTCCAAGTGGCTACAAATTTGGCACCTGGCCCAGTGTTCACCCAAGTCACCGGTAGCTGGTAGCTAGCAATATCCCGTGTTATATAAGGAGCACGGGATATTCTATTGTACTCCGTACAGAGTACGGAGTACAATAGAGGCAATGATGGAATGATCATCATGACAGCTGCTCAATAATCCGGCACATTTTCCCCTGAGGCTGATTATTGACGTACTCCATACTTCGAGCTCCGTACACAATATCGGAAACAAACAAAGGCGTTGACGATCATCGCGCCTGGGCTTGATAGATCGACATACGCCTCGAGCTGAAAGTTGGTCAGGTGATGTCCGCCAAACTAGTTTGGGAAGGTCCCGGACTTCCGGAATTGGAACTAGGGGGGCATGTGGATCAATGTCATGTTTGGTGTTTTGTTTCGCTTAGATCATGAAAGCCCGGATATGCACATGTGTGATCTTTGACCCCTAATCTAAGTATCCCAGGTATCAAGTTAAGTACGGAATAGATGTAGCTAATCCTCCCGAAGCGCAAACCCTGGAGGTTGAAAAAGTCGACCTGTCATTGGCAAACAAAGAACACCTTAGGCAGGTCCGGCGCCTCAGGCAACTAGGGCATGAAAGGCGGTCATCCGACTGGACAAGCAACTGCGGATAGCAGTCAAGATACCATGGGATATACTCGGTAAAACCATGGATAAAGTCTCTAATTATGGCTGTTTATTGATCTACAAATGAATAATTGATCTCTTCAAAGTCCCAAGCAGTATGACGGCTTTTTGCCTAGATGGTACTTTGTACATCAAATTTGGGTTCCTGTTCCGTGTGACTGCTCCAACGGCTTCTTTTCTAAGTGGACCCAAGGCAACGGTCGTTTCATCACCGGGGATATGGATAAATATACGGAGTAATAATTATAGGTATTGTGTACGGAGTATGGAGTAACACTCTGTATGTAGTATGCACTCTATATTAGGTACCTATGTTATGTATATGGACTCCACAGGCGATCGAAGCGAACACAATCGCGATAATCGGATCTAAGAATTATTTCTTGAAATAGACAATGTGGGAGGATGGCTCATATGGTATAATAATAGATAGTTGTATGTACACATGAGTTCGAAAATTTTTCCTGGGGGCGAACACAAAAGTACATAGCCTCTTCATGAGCCACAATAAAAATCTGCATGTACGATGTACATTATGGTAGACACAAGCTGAGTGCGATAGATAGCGGAGGCGGATCTCCGAGCAGTTTGTCTTATAAATTGACTAGTCTGCATAAGAAGTACCACGCCACGCTGATGAATCTGACATGGCTAAAAAATTTATGCGTAACGGCTCCCCCAGTACCCGGTCACGATGTTAGAGTCCCTATACTTACGGAGGAGCCTTGAATGTACCTACGAAGTAGGTAGATCTAGTCCCCTTTAGCCAGAAAGGTATGGGGACGATAATCCAATCATAAATGTGAGTTAGACTCTTTGATTTAGAACCTACCTGAAGAGGAAAAGTGTTAAACGTATGCCAGTGGAGTCATAATGGCACCAACGGCTGTCTCTGAATCATTCCAAACCAATTGCAATTCACACGGATCGGGGCTAATAGAGAGCTAATGACATCTTCCAACGGGTCGGTGCAGGTGGAGTAGCCTTAAAAAGCAGAATGGATCTGGAATAAAGGAGAGAATTGATTACATTGATTAAATTATTGGTTTTTTTATAGTGCACCTATGGGATACCCTATGGAATATGGATACTACGGAGTACATATGGACACATCTGGATAAATATGGATACATAGAGTAAAAGGGTATTAAAAAAACAATTAAAAAAAAAACAATTAAAAAACAATTTAAAATCCAATTTAAAAAATTAATTTAAATAATTTTGTTTCGCCGATTTTTGTATTTGAGTCTCCACTGTGTAGAATGGCCCAGCCAGAGGCAACATCTCCCGCGTTTTTGTATGTGACTTTTCCCCTCCGCAGAGTAATTTCGAACTCTTCTTCCTCGACTATCCTACATTCGCTTGGTCGCATCTTGATATTTGCCCAACCACTTTGGCCCTTTATCTATCTTACATTCTTTACTCAATCCTGGAAAGGGCATTAAGACGTGTCTCACGTTTTAGTACTCGGAATCGACTCATTGAAGCCGCTTTTTGCGTTTTTTGCATACATCAGATCTGGCGTGCAGGAGATCTGAGAGATTCTGCATTGTGATTGGTTCTGCTTCTCAAGGGATATCCCAGATTGAAAAGTACTCGCCAGTCGCCAAAGCCTTTTTTTCCCTTTGTCGACCTCCTTGGGTGACTCAAAATCCGAAATACCCCAGGGCTGATCCAACCAACCGGGTCACACCATTGACCTTGATTTCCCCTTTGAGCATATCAGTTACCCCCTTGACAGGTTCTGAGCTATCCCAGCCGCTACGACTAATCGACCAATCCGGTTCTTCGGGTCAACCATAACTACTGCTCTCTAGCCCCCGGACTTGCATTCTTTTCATCCCATATCATTACGACACTCTTTACAACTTATCGACACATACTCTTGTCGCGACATCAGTCCCGACTCATCCAGTCCTTCAAATCTCCGTAGCATGTCTCAACCCCCTAATTATGAGACATTAAATGCACCCGACGGGTCAGCATTGACGTGGATCTTTGACCATTGCTTGCGTTACGCCGACAACTACGAAATTTCCCTTCGTGCTGCATACGAGCTCAATTGCCACTCGTCGAAGAGCACCATGGGGAATTCAACTGTTCCTCGGTCACCCTCCATCTTCCGCAATTCCATCTGGTCCAAAAACTCGAGAAACTCCGATTCTTCTCTGGATGCTCCTTCTTACGACACGAATGCTGAATTTCGTGCCTGTTTGACCAAGACTGTCTCAGAATTGTCTTCTCAACCTGTTTCACTCCCTCCGGCCTTCATTATTTCCTTTGTGCGCCGCTGCTTTTGTCTGGATCTGTCGTATGTCGACTTTGCCCAGGCTTTAACTGCCCTTGATTACCTTAGAGACCTCCAAGCTCGCTGGAAAAAGGAGATAGATGCTGCCTTTAACCGACTCAACATTACCGCCCAGGATGCGAGTGACCCTCAGCACTCGGAAGTGGCTCGCAAATTCCCTAATGTGTTGAACTGGTACAAAGACATCAGCCACAAGGCACGTCTGATCGATTTTATGTACACTCAGGTCTATGTCGGCCTACGTCGCTGGGTAAGTTAAACTCTCGATTTTCAAATAGCGAATCCCGTATCTAACATCTATTTCTCAGGTTCTTGTCAATCAGATGATGCTCGAGCCATTTGACAAAGCCAACTGTCTTGCTCTCCTGAACACTCTACTACCGCCTCTTCACCGAGACAGCTCTACCCCAACACAGCAGTTGTCAACAGGCACCCTTGAACATCATCGTAACACCTTCTTCAAATTCATTACCACCTTCGAGGCTGATCCTTCAATCCTGGAGCCTATCATGAAGCAAGGTGCTCGCCCTGGTGAAGAGAATGGGTGGCCTGCATTGTATGAGACCATTGATCGATACCTGAATGCAGTTCTCGAGATGATCGACGAGTGCATGTTGATCAACGAGCCTGGTCAGATTAACAAATCAGGCGTGCAGCGCCGTACCGACTCGGGCATCAGCTTTGGTCCCGACTTCGGCCCCTGCCCCACTATCTCACCCTGTTCAGACACCGAAAAGCCACTTCCCCATTTCCCAGAACCAAATACAGGCACTAGCAAGCATGGCTCGTTGCTTGACCGATTCGCCTCCTTTTCAGGATGGGGCAAGAAGAAGGACCCTCAGAGGGAGCAAGAGCGGGAGCAGCAGAGGGAGTTTACCCGCAGTCTGAGGAAGATGCAGTCCTACAGATCGTTCAACAGTGGAGCTAGCAGCACCAAGAAATCAGCCAAGTTCAACGGAAATATCTCTTTCGAGTTGACTGACGATAAGCGCCGGCGTTTGATTGATGAAGCCCAAGCTCGCAAGGCAGCCGACGCGTCTGAGTCGGCACAGAACATTGGCCAGGCCATTTAATCCCAACTTTCCACGATTTCATCTAAAAAAAAATCAGATCAACAAACAAACAAACAAAAACAAGACCAAAAAAAAAAAATCCAGACCAAACGAGGGGACTGAACAGGCTCCCCACATTTCCCTCATTTCTTTACATTCGACTCGGTCATCCATTGCTCTTCTCTCATTCTCGCTGCAGCCGTCCCCCTGCAAGCACAAAATTCAGAGGGAGCACTCGCTCCCAAACTTGTCAATACCAGGCCTCTGTTGCACAGAGCCAGCCAGGCTGCATTTGTGGCTTATCTTGGTCACTTCGGAACAAAAAAAAAGGCGTTTGGAGGGAAACATATGGGGGTGTTGATTTACGACTTAATGTCTTTACGATAGCGTCCAGCATACTGGATTTGAGCTCAAAATATTATTATCCCTATTATTATTATTATTATTATTATAATTCCCATTTCTCATCTAGTAGATATAAATACCCATACGTGGAACCCCTAAATGTAACCAATGCAATACAAGGTACGGAGTAGAGCAGCCAACATCTACACCTCGGAGACTGCGCCAATTGCCGCTCAGTCCGCCGTAGAAGCTGCGATAAGATAGCGAAGCCCTCCAAGTGTCCAGATCAGCCTATTCATCCCCGGTCTCACTACCAACCGTCGTTGTTGAGATCTCTGGCTCATTTGGCCCGTGATGCTTGCAAATGGATTGACCTGCATGTTTGTTAATTAGAAATTCCACACCGCATCGCATAGGACTCGCCTGACCCGAGGCTATCCCCCTTACCATACAACAAATATACACAACAACCCTCCCACACTGCATTGCGCGATAATGAGGGCCTTTACGGGATCTCATATTTCCTGGCGGTGGTACGCCGCCGTTGGAGCTCTGCTACCAGGCTGGATTGTCAATGCTAGCCCAGCTGTGAACGTGGCGCTCCAAGCCTCCTTCGACTCGGCCCCATACCTCGTCGAGCTCCTGTATGTCGCACATGGAGTGATATCTCACCTGTAATAGGTCTGTCAATATGAGGATGGCTAATAAATTCATGTAGGGAGTCTGCCGCCGAAGAAAACTCTACTTCTTATTTTCCTTTGTTGGATCGCATCGCCGACGGAGCATTTGAGGACCTCACAACTGAGAAGGAACTCTACGACCGCTTCTTGACAGTTATTAAGGATGATGGCCACATACAGACGCCGGAGAGTCTTTCCTCGTTCAAATTATCACTTTCGGTTCGATCATCGGCGCCTCGTATTGAGGCGCATTTCCAATTCTATAACACCTCTGTTCAGCAGTCGTTGATGGTGGCCCAAGATGCGGTATGTCCCGTGTGGGTTCACTCGGAGGGAAAGCAGTATTGCACTTCTGCGATGGAGCGCGCACAACAGGATGTTGTGGGAGAATTGTGGGTTGATCTTTTTTTGTTGGTTATGGACTATAATAGCTGACATTGAATTTGTGCCCCAGTGATCCTAGAGAGCTACCATTTGATCGCGTTATGGGTGATATATCACTCCCTCCGGCTGTTCTTTATGCGGATGTTGCCTCTCCGATGTTCAAGAGTTTCCATGAAACCCTGAGCGAAATGGCAAAACAGGGACAGATCTCGTACCGTGTACGCTATAGACCTCCCCAACACTCGATTCCTCGTCCCTTGTTTGTATCTGGATACGGCGTGGAGCTTGCTCTGAAGCGAACGGACTACATCGTTATTGATGACCGCGATGCGGAGCAGCTCGCAGAAAAGGCCACCGAAAGTCTTCCAACTGACCTGGATGAGACCAAAGAAGATGCTCCAGATGACCTCCGGCCTCTGTCTTCCTCTGAAGTGACTCGCCTAGGTTTGAACTCTGTGAGCTACGTTATGGACAGCCCTGATCCTTTGGGAACATTGATCAAGATATCCCAAAATTTCCCCAAGTACTCATCGATAGTAGCTGCCCACAACTCCACTGGGGAAATGGCGCAGGAGGTCCGCCACAACCGGATAAAAATGCTTCCTGGTGGTTACAATGCTATTTGGATCAACGGTGTGCAAATGAGCACACAGCAGATTGACGCATTCTCACTTTTGGAACATCTGCGTCGAGAGAGGAAATTGATTGAGAAATTTCGCGGCCTAGGTCTGTCTGCGGATGACGTCGTGAAGTTATTGTCCCATCCACTCCTCACAGAAGACCAAGGTGATGCCGAGGAGCAGCGCTATGACTTCCGGGATGATTTAGAAGGGAACCAGGTTATTATTTGGATGAACAATCTGGAGAAGGACTCTAGATACGAGTCCTGGCCTAGTGATCTCGAGGCGGTTCGTACTGATTTTGTATGGATTGAACCGAATACACACTAACTTAATTCTAGTACATCGCTGGTTCTTACCCGGGACAGTTGCCCCCCGTGAGCCGAGACCTGCACAACGCCATCGTGTTTATAGACTTGTCTGACCCAGACCACATGAAGCTCATTGCTGGACACCTGCAAGCCTTCATCAATCGAGGGATCCCTGTGAGATTCGGCTTGGTGCCTTCCACCTCGTCGCCAGAGTCCATTGCGCAGCTGAAGGTAGCGCATTACCTTTTCGATGCCTATGGCATGGAGTCTCTTGTACAATATTTCGAAGAGTATGCCTCGAAAAGTAAATCGGGCTTGCCAGACAAATCGTGCTTCCAGACTGCGACCAAACAACGCAATCTCCTCGACGAACATGAAGCTCTGTCTCTTGATCAAGTCCTAAAGAGCGAGAAGTATAATACCCTAGTGTCCCAAACGGCTGCTTACCAGCGTCGGTTGAGTTTTACCGGCGACGTACCTCAATTCCTGGTGAACGGTATCCATCAAGGAGGCAACTGGATGCAGGGAATGAGTATGCAGGTCAGCAGGGACTTGAAATTGGTCCAGCAAGCCATTGCAGAGGGAATGTTCGAGGAGGACGCATGGCTTCCGGAGTTCTTCCTGGCTGGCGCATTCGAGACACGCAATACTTTCCTCATGCCCGAGGATCCCAGGAGTGTACAGATTGTAGACATCGCTAACATCATTCCATTGGATCAAGATGTATTGAGCAAAATTCCCCGTGTTCTCTCGGACATGGGAGCCCTGGAAAGCACTCATATAATAGTTGTGGGCGATTTTGAGTCGGAGGCGGGTATCAAATTACTTACTAATGCCCTCGATCTTCGAAAGGACAATGACGACGTGGAGATTATGATGCTGCACAATGCAGCAGTGGATGCCGAGGATGATGTTCCTAAGAATCTCGTCAGTCTTCATCTCTCGCTTGTGAAGGGGGAAACTATCGACCAAATACTAGCTAAGATTGCATCCGGTGATCTTGATACTGAAGCCCTAGAGACTGAAGACCAGGATATCTCTACCATTCAAGCTTTACACCAAACTCTAGCCAAAGAACTTGGTTTCAACCCTGGCACTGAGGGACTCGTTGTCAATGGGAGGGTTGTCGCCCCTATTCAGAAGGAACACCCGCTAAGCATGGAAGAGATGAGACAGCTGATTGCCTACGAACGGGTGAAGCGCCTCGATTCCGTTGCAGCGGCTGTTGACCAGCTCGGATTCGCCGACAAGGTCTCAACCCCGCTTGACTTTGCCAAACTGGCCTCGCTTGTGGCTCTTTCCACCATCTCCGATGTCCCTGATGGTATTTTCGAAAACACTCCCGATTTCAGAATGGATGTGTCCAGTCAATGGAGGACCCAGCACTCGGTGATCACGGTTTCTAACACCGATGATCCCACCATCAACGTCGCTGTTAGCCTTGACCCGGCATCTGAGGTTGCTCAGCGATGGTTGCCGATTCTGAAGGTTCTATCTGAGCTCTCCGGCGTCCAGCTGAAGATTTTCTTGAACGCAAAGGAAGAGCTCACGGAGCTGCCGGTCAAGCGGTTCTACCGCTATGTCTTGGAATCAGAGCCATCTTTCACAGATGAGGGCGCTCTGGCTCGGCCGCAAGCGTCCTTCACTGGCGTGCCAGTCGAGGCACTGCTGACGCTAGGCATGGATGTGCCGTCGTCTTGGCTCGTAGCACCTAGTGAATCAGTCTATGACCTGGATAACATCAAGTTGAGCTCGGTCAAGCCTGGCACTGACGTTGACGCTATCTACGCTCTCGAGCACATTCTGATCGAGGGCCACTCCCGTGATCTCACAATGAAGACTGCCCCCAGAGGTGTCCAGCTTATCTTGGGCACCGAGAACAATCCTTATTTTGCCGATACCATCATCATGGCCAATGTGGGATACTTCCAATTCAAGGCACAGCCAGGCTTGTGGCAGATCAACTTGAAGCCCGGCCGCAGCGAGAAGATCTTCAAGATCGATAGCGTCGGTGGTCTAGGATACCGCCCGCAGGCAGGTGACGAGAACAACGAGGTTGCTCTGCTGTCCTTCCAGGGTCGGACGCTTTTCCCTCGCCTGTCGCGAAAGCCAGGCTACGAGGCCGAAGATGTTCTCGAGACAGGAGTCCAGCCAGGCTCAAAGATGGACTACTTTGCCAAAGGACTCAACTTTGCATCCGGCGTCCTCTCCAGTGTTGGTGTCGGTTCCAAGAGCGGAGGCGAACAGCATGCCGATATCAACATCTTCTCAGTGGCAAGTGGACACCTCTACGAACGCATGTTGAACATCATGATGGTCTCCGTGATGCGACACACCAAACACACCGTCAAATTCTGGTTCATCGAGCAATTCCTCTCCCCCTCCTTCCGCGCCTTCCTCCCTTCCCTCGCCCGCGAATACGGCTTCTCCTACGAGATGGTAACATACAAATGGCCTCACTGGCTACGCGCCCAAAAAGAAAAGCAACGCGAGATCTGGGGGTACAAGATGCTCTTCCTGGACGTGCTCTTCCCCCTCTCTCTGGACAAAGTAATCTTCGTCGACGCGGACCAGATTGTGCGCACAGACATGTACGAGCTAGTCACGCACGACCTGCAAGAAGCGCCGTACGGCTTCACGCCGATGGGCGACTCCCGAACCGAAATGGAAGGCTTCCGCTTCTGGAAGCAGGGCTACTGGTCCACCTTCCTCCGCGGCAAGCCCTACCACATCTCAGCACTGTACGTCGTGGACTTGAAGCGCTTCCGCGCGCTTGCTGCCGGCGACCGTCTGCGCGGCCAATACCAGATGCTCTCGGCGGATCCGAACAGTCTCAGCAATCTCGACCAGGATCTGCCCAACCACATGCAGCATCATATTCCCATCCACAGTCTGCCGCAGGAGTGGCTTTGGTGTGAGACTTGGTGTTCCGATGAGGATTTGGGCGTGGCGAAGACTATTGATCTTTGCAATAATCCTCTTACTAAGGAGCCTAAGCTGGAAAGGGCCAGGAGGCAGGTTCCTGAGTGGACGGTCTATGATGATGAGATTGCGGCTTTGGCGAGTCGGGTTGCTGGCGAGCAGGCGGCTGCTGTTGGGGTTGAATCTGAGCAGACTGGCGAGGACCGCAAGGATGAATTATAGTTGACCCCGGTTGGTTTCCTTAGAGAAAGCGATTGCATTTATGATTACACTTATTGCATTATTGGATTGAATGTGAATCTCCTTTTTTTATTTTCATAGATATTTTCTTTTATTGCTCGCTCTCGTAAAGATTGATTGGTATCTTAGCAACCAAGGGTATAATCAGACACAGAAAGCAAGGAGCTGCAGAGGCAAATTCTTTGTTTTGTGAATTTTCACAGCTAATCCGAGTCGGTCTCGTACTTGACGTTGACTTCGCTGCTGTCCTCAGAGTCAGATCTATCAACGACAGCATCGTTTTCAGCGACAGGTCTGTGAGCAGCAAGTGATTCGGGCAATGGAGATTCTTCGATAACAGAGCGAGGGCTGTTAATGGAGGCTTCTTTCTGCTTTTTTGACTTTTTCTTCTTTTTAGGAGGCTCGGGGGCTTCAGCATCGCTGTTAGCTGCCTCATTAGCCTTTTCGGCAAGAAGACGCTCCTCTTCCTCTTGTCTCTTTCGCTTCTTCTCTTCCTTCCTCTTCTGCTTGCGCTCCTTGCGTGCAGCCTTGTCCTCCTGAACTTCTTCCTCAATCTTCTCTTGCTTCTCTTTCTCTTGTCTCTCTTTCTCTCGCCGCTCCTTTTTCTCGCGCTTCCTGTCCTCCTTGCTCTTTTTAGGAGCAGCAGGAGACGACAGAACTTCGTTGATAGGATCAGAGGTGGCGTCTTCGGTGTGCTTGCTCTTGGATTTTGACTTCTTAGCCTTTTTGGGAGGCTCGGGCAAGTCGGGCTCACCCTCCTCGGATTGTGCTCCGTGGCCAGACTCAACATTGTCATTCGCAATGGGTGATTGCGCTGTCTCGGCCTTGGGATTTAGGTTTGAGGTAGTAGTCTTCGTGGCTTCGTCATCATCAGAATCATCATCCACGAATTGAGAGCTCTTCCTTCGAGCCTCCAGTCTCAGGTTCCAGTGGGAATTTTTCTTAGCAGCGATTTTGGGATCGAATACCGCGCCTGGCTGGCCATTAGCCCGCAAGAGCATGACCTGCCTCACGACCTTGCGCCACTTGTCTGCACATTGTTGTCTAGACCGCAAATGGCCCATCGCCTTGCTGACATTACCCCATACAACGAGGCGCTCATCCAGCTCGTACATGTCCTTGCCTGCCTTATCGCCAAGCACAGGCCTCATGGTGAGCCACGTTGATTCCATGGCGTTCAGGAAAATCCTGGTTTCTTCCTCCCCCCACGCGCCTCGATTCATGGTGCCCTGGTGCTCAAGCTTGTTCTTCCAGCGCTGAGTGACATCGTCATCACTGCGCCCAATGAGCTTACCAATATAAGTCCATTTTGGACCGTGCTTGGCATGGAGCTCGATAAGCTCATCGTCTTGCTCCTTCGACCAATCGTGCGCTTTTTGAGACGAAGCTTGGAAGTGTCGGCGCATGAATCGGTATACAGATCGTCGGTCACGGTCTGGAACAAGAGCGTAGATCTCGTTCCAGAAGTCGCTTTTTGAGATCACGTCCGTGAGTGGAAATTCGCCGTTTCCGCCACGCTCGGAATGCTGGATCATCTCGTCGAATTTAATGCTAGAAATGCCATGCATAGTGCAAAAGTTGAGTTTGTATGCTTCTATTTTTCCCACTTCCTCCGGCGTGTAGAAGCCAATTTTTAAGTTGTCTTTCTCCCTAGTGCGTGAGCCTCTGACTCGGTTGGCTGTGCCTTCTGTGCTACCCTCGGGGTTGGGTGATTCAGACACTGGAGTTTGCTTGGTGATAGTCAGCTGCTTTGCAGCAGGCGGTTCTTCTGCAACCTTTAAGTTGGGAGTAGGCTGAGAAGTAGACGAAGTCGGGGTCTTCAAGTCTTCGCCATTCTGCTTGCGAGCCTTCTTCGCCTTGGGCTTAGATGGAGTGGGTTGGCTGGGAGTTGGGGGAACTTGAGCAGTAATTTCAGAGGGTGGTGGGTTGCTTTCTGGTGAAGCTTGTTTGGCAACAAGCTTTTCTGATTTGCGATGCTTCTTGGCTTTTTGCTTGTGCTCAGGTTCAGATTCGCGCTTTCGCTTCGAAGGATTCGACATGTTGGAGTCTAACTCTGATGGTTGCTTTGTACCATCGGCTTCCGCAATTGCTGGCGATAAAGCCTTAGATGTTGTGGAGACATGTTTATTTTTATTTTTCTTCGTCCCATTAGCTTGCGAAGACTTCGGAGTTTCGGGAACTGCCAGGTTGCAAATGTTAGTATCAAATCGCGTGGAGATCAAGTGTTTTCACCAACCGATGTCTCCAAAATCCTCGGGTACTTCGGGGAATGGTTCAGGCTGAGATGATGTATTTCCCATGGCAATAAGTTGCGATAATGAGCATGGAGGGGAAGAGTGGAGGATGCGATTAAAGGAGAGACCGAGGTTCCTCAAAAATTTATGGCCCACAAGCGTCCAGTTTGGCAATTCTATTCACCGATGGGGCTGACCGCCTATGTGGGGCCAATCGAGTATACATCAATGGCTATTGTCGACGATCTATATTATTATGAGAATTATAGAATCAAAGAGAATAAAAAAAACAAAAAGAAAATCAATAGGATTCAAGGCATCAGGACGACTTATTCAAAAAACTTCCACCCAATGGCCACATTGTACAACTTTACTACAAAGGGGCTCATGTATCCTATAAAATAATGCACCACAATGCTAGTTAATTGGTGCTGTCGAAAGTAGTGCTAGCACAGTTCAAATAGTACATAATCTCTCAAGCTGACACATGCACCCTGCTCACAAACTGCACATCTTCCTTTCCGCCAGCAGGTAATGGATCGTATATATGCAAGTACTTTCCAGACATATATAAATCAACGTACCTAGTCTTATGTTAGCCATATTTCTTTGATGAACATTCTTAACCATTAAAGTCACTCTATCGACACTTAAGCTCATTTTCCTCACAACTATTTGCCTGAACCGAGCTCCCTCCCCTAGCTATACCTGTGCGGGGTGCGAGTCACCGATATGAAATAGTGAGTAGTGATATTATGGAATCAAATCTAATGGCGCCTCTCGGAAAATGGTCATAATGGTGACAGCAGATCAATATTTCCCACTGATAAGACAAGCCTGACGACACTCTACACAAATGATTCAAAGTATTCAATACGTTTCCTGGAACTCAATTTAGTTATATATAATAATTTGTAAATGATCCAACCGGGGAGGCGCCTATAAAGAGCACTGATGATAGCACACAAGTTCATAGTATTCAGCACTACTGTAGACGGGTCTGCATTCACTTATTTTTCTGTCGAATTAAAGAGAGAGCTCTGTAGCATAGGAAACTATTCGCGGAAGGTTTATTCGAAAACATCCTCATTCTTCTATGTAATAACAACAGTTGGTCTGGGATGTATCCTGCCGACAAGACTCATTACTGAATGGCAGTTCTCCAGTCAAGATAACACATCTTGAGTGTGACAACCGGCACAGGCAATGCACGTGTCCAGGTTACGAGTAACAATCGACTCCAACTAACAGATCGTTCAGGACGTAGTTGCTATGCTGCATGCAAACCCTCTTTGCGTGTTTGCAGAGACCCCCCACTTTACATTTCCGTAGGTATTTATGGAACACAAACACTGTAAGACTTGTTTGACAAAGTCGGACAAAAAAAAGTACACCGATGATGGTCTTAGTAGGAGGGATTGGACAGAATATCAACAGAAGATGGTTATGGCTGTAGGTACTCCGTACACCACCAAAGCATGACACCAGGCCTGTTGTGGACGTGCACGAATCAAATACCATCAATGGGGTAGTGGGATAGAATGGCCCTAGAAGATAAGCGATATAATATGTCTGGGATGAGGTGCGTTGGTCACAGGCGGCAAAAGCCATCGACCCAACAAGGTGTAATGTGGGAAATAATACAGCCATTTCTAGACCATAACAAAAACCAAGGTTCCTGTTTAAGGCCTAGGGGGGCCATATCCCAGTCTGACATGTAACTTGCCCTGTCTTCAGCTGAACAGCCTATTCCCGAGCCAGAGGACTGATACCTATTTTCTTTTAATCCTTGCCCTTGGACTTGTGATTTATTATTGAAAGTAGAAAGCTCGGACTGAAGAAAAGACTTGATGATGCAGCAAGAAGCAACTATTTACGGCGGGGAGCCGAACCCACTGGACACTAGGGGCTTATGCCTTTTGTCCCTAGATGGCGGCGGTGTGCGAGGCCTCTCATCACTCTACATCCTGAAGAGCATCATGGACCGACTTAACCATGAGCGAAAGGAGACCAAGCTCCCTCCAGTGAAGCCGTGTGAAGTGTTTGACCTTATCGGGGGTACAAGCACAGGTGGGTAAGTAGACTTCTAAACGTCTGTCATCTTTAATTTGACAAACTAACTATCAGTAAGCCTGATCGCGATTATGCTCGGTCGGCTTGAGATGGATGTCGATAAGTGTATTGATGCATACAGCGGTCTTGCAGCAACAGTGTTCGGCGAGAAGCTGAGCTCAATCCCCTTCAACTTGAGGGGTAAAACCACGGCCCGGTTCGACTCGGCGACACTCAAGAGCGCGATCGAAAAGGTTATTGAGGATAGTGGTGCTTGCCAGGAGGATCTATTTAATGATGGCATTGAACGTGGATGCAGAACGTAAGTGTATTACCGACCGAGGTGATAGCTCTAACACAGCTAGTTTCGTTTGTACTGCCGACCGCCATACAAAGGACATTGTTCGCCTACGAAGCTATAGCCTCTCTTATGAGTCAAATATCAGCACGACGATATGCCAAGCCGCCCTTGCAACATCTGCTGCCACAACCTTCTTTGAACCCGTTAGCATCGGGAACAGATCGTTTGCTGATGGTGGACTAGGCGCGAACAACCCAGTAGACGAAGTGGAGGGTGAGGCGTCGAATATCTGGTGCCCTGAGACGGGAGAGCTGAAGCCGCAAGTCAAGTGCTTTATATCGATCGGGACAGGGAACCCAGGCAAGAAGCCGTTCGAGGATAATTTATTCAAGTTTATCGGGAAGACAGTGGTGCAGATTGCAACCGAGACGGAGAATACAGAGCAGAAGTTTATAGCGAGATGGTCAAAGCATTTCGACGAGAAGCGATACTTCCGGTTGAATGTCGAGCAGGGACTACAGGAGATTGGGCTTGAGGAGTACAAGAAGAAGGGAGCGATAGAGGCGGCGACAGAAGGCTATCTCAAGCACACGGCACAGAAGTTCCGGGTGCGGGACTGTATTAAGAATATGAGACTCAAAGAGAGTGTGTATCTCGAAGATTTCAGTTAGCGAAGTGAATCATTTAGCTGATGTTTGCAGACAAGACTGAGATGGATTTCGCCAATGTTCTATACGTATGTGTATTGCTGTCAGCGAGCCTGATCCTTGCTAAAATGTACAGTCACATACCATCCGCGCCAATCAAAGGTAGTGGCAGTCAGGTACGAAAATTATGAGCTGATCACGATGTTCCCTTCCTCGAATTCATCACTAAATGGTCCTTTGGGGATATAGATCATCGCTTTAACGTGCCACTCGACCTTAGTACTATGCCGGTAATTGCACCGAACTTCCTGGGACGACAAGAAGAGCTAGAGCAGCTGTGGCTGTCTTTACAGCCACCCAAACCCGAGTTACAGTCATCCAAGCCCGAATTACAGAAAGTTGCTATTGTTCATGGGCTTGGGGGAATGGGAAAGACACAGCTAGTAATCCGCTTCGCACGAGACCACAAACGTGATTTCACTGCTATCTTTTGGCTGAACGGCAAGGACCGAGCCACTCTTATGCAATCTTTAAGCTCTATCTTGCCCCGGTTACCAGGCCAGTCTCAGAATACCGATGCGATCAAGAACGAAGAGGCAGAACAACGATCTAGGACTGTTTTACAATGGCTAGCATTGGAGGGAAACTCTCGCTGGCTAATCATTTTTGACAATATTGACTAATACTCTCCCGTTGATACCGTTCATCAAGCATATGATATTCAGAAATTCTTCCCTGGAGTCTATTCTGATCACATCTCGGCTCGAAACATTGACTGAGCTAGGGGAGTCCTTTCCCATACGCAGGCTTGACCCCAACAATGCGATCCAACTACTCTTACGAAGCAGCCGTCTATCAGTGGATAGGACTATCGGTGAACTTGAGAGCAAACCAGGTACGGGGACAAATGATATATATACAGATCTTATTGCTAATAGTAATATACAGAAATCCTTGCCCTTGCCAGTCGGTTAGATGGGCTGCCATTGGCCATTGTTATCGCCGGGTCCTATATACGTCAAACTGGAGCCAGCATTGCTAGGTACTTGCAACTCTACCAAGAATCTTGGTCCAGCTTACAATTGCAATCGAAACCTGGACGCCAGTACCAAGGCAACATGCTACAGACGTGGCTGATCTCATATCACGAGATTCAAAAGCGGGACTCAAACGCAGCCCGACTGCTGTTGCTTTTTGCTCACTTTGACAATCGGGACATCTGGTATGAGCTGATTCGGAGTGGCTGTAATGACTCTGCCGCCCCAGTGTGGCTGTATGAAAGCGCTGCAACTTTTCTTGGATTTTCAAACAAAGTGAGGATTCTTATTGAGTTTTCTCTTATTGAATTCAAGCAACAGGGAGAAAGCTATGCTATGCATCCAGTGGTACAGGACTGGTGTCTTCACATCACCAGTACTAATGAGAACATGAATTCGCTCGTACTCAAAGAAGTGGCTTTGATATCCGTTGGATATATTGTGCCTAGCAAAAGCGAGAGAAATTACGCAGAGCTTCAGAGACGGCTTGTTCCGCACGCCAATTATATACTTGGTAGAGATTGGCTAGGAGACGATACTAGGGTACGAGTGACTTTGCATAGTCTAGGAAAACTCTACGCTAATCAGGGGAAGCTAAAAGAGGCAGAGGAGATGTACCGGCGAGCTCTAGCGGGCTACGAGAAGGCCCTCGGTCCAGATCATACGTCGACCCTTGATACAGTTAATAACCTTGATATTCTCTACTGTCATCAGGGGAAGCTGAGTGAGACAGAGGAGATGTACCAGTGAGAACTTCCTGGCAGCAGGACGGGACCGCATATATCAATCTTCAGAGGACGGTGGGCTATAAAGAGATCCACCAAACGACTTAAGCACCATCAGTGAAAATAGGGTATACTCCTTGTGGGACAGGAGCCAACCAACATATTACCTACTGTCATATATCCTCTGTATTTTTTTACTGGACCGCATACAGCGACATAGCATCACCTCAGAGAAGGCCTGAATGAATGGCCTGACAGGAATGAAGTCCGTTATGAATGTCTCTCAGGAAACGCATATATGGGAGATGCGAAGGCTTTATACAGACCACCGTAGGTTGATTGTGTCATCTCAAAATGTCATATCAAATTAGATTCCTTTCGCTCCTGTCACCAAGTGACTTCGACAACTACATAAAAGTACATATATTTGTAATAGCTACAGGGCCTTTCTTGTGACCTCAAGATGGCTCTTGCCAAGTAGATATCAACTATGTTATGTGCAAAGTAGTTAGGTACGGCCCACTACATATGTACTCTTTGAGGCGGATACCTATATATATGTTCATATACCTCATATGTATGTGTATTTGATTTCTTCTGCCACTTCTTGGCGTTCTCTTTCCGTATGAATGCTCAGGCCTTGCCGCTTTTTGCTCACTGAGTAACCCTAAGTGGCCTCCTGAGCGCCCTGATCCGCTCACTGAGTCTAAAAAAGCCCTTACATGAATTTTGCACTATATAATCCTTATAGGGATTTTAAGGTTATTTAATTTTCCTACTTTACAAAAATATTTCAAGAGAAAAGCAACTATTTTAAAGCTCAATAGGTATACTAGGGTCTTCGTGTCAATTTACCTTCCTATAATTGAATGAGGTGGTTGAGATATATACATCTCGAAGTACCTTTTATATGTGGCTCCTATAGAAAAGGTACATTTTGCATCGAGCCCGTTTTTGCATCGAGGGTTGGGCCGTGCGTTGAGCCGAGTACTTTGTAGCTCACCATGTGATCCGGGCCGGGTACTAGATTGTAGGTATGTACATGTACTTAACTAAGCCCTAGAGTAGCCCTGGTTCGATATTATTATATAAATGTGTTCAAGCCCTCCAGGGCTGGAGCATTCAGCATTTACTCGACACAGTCCTGGATATCATGCTCATTATTGCATTAATAGTGTACATTCTGGCATAAAGAACATAAGAATCAACTGCAAATCGTAAAACTCATACTCCAGGTCCTACAGACACACTCACGACACAAGCTTCATATCCCTTAGGATTTTCGTCACTAGTTTCTTTTGGTCATGAGGGTGAAGATTTTGCTGATCTGTATCCTGTAGACAACGCCCAATTGCGATAGTGACTTTAACAGCACTTTCTGCAGCATTAGAGCAGTCTACCCACACCTTTCCATTGCGGCCAACTGCAATCTCAAATCCTCCCAAGCTCTCCAGCTTCTTCCCGAGTTCAGACAGAACAACCAATCCTTCAATTGCATCTGTGTTCTCGGCAGAAGAAGAGCTTGCCCGAATCAATCGGGCGGCCATACCAGTCGAAACATCAAATACCATTCCGCCTGTCAAGGGTCCCAACCCTCCATCAGCCTTGCCAGTTGCTGGGTTGACACAGGTGAGTTCAACTTCGGCGCCGGCGCCGACTCCCACGGACTGTACTCGGGCATACACCAGCTCGCCCTGCTTCAACATTGGCCTTGTCTTCTTAGATGCGCCCTCAAATGACAGTTGACCCAGAAGCGCGTGGGCCGTGTGCGGGGTTACCATGCAATGGAAGAAATCAACGCTGGAGTGGTGGATCTGAGCAATGACGAAGTCGTTGACGGTGGGGATGTATCGGCGGTTCGGGAAAGAAAGAAGCGAGACGGTGTTTCGTTTCGCGTCGGTTGTCAACAGACCAGCTTGTGTTGCTGTTAAGACATGATTGGTCCCCTTTGAAGAAGGCTGTGATAGGATGCGGAGGCCGGGACCTAGCCGTAGAGGGTTGGAATTGTTGGTAGGAAGATGGTCTTGAGGTACCTCATCGCTAGGTAATAGGACAACCGGGGCACTCATGATGCCAGATTGGATAAACTGTGTTCTCAGGATAGCCTAAGTGTAGAGGACTCCGAGGAAGAGGTTCAATATTGTATTTTCGGATGTCTTTCGCGGTGAAAATAGATTGTCTGTTCTCTGTTCTGGCGCATTGATTCTGCAAAAGAAAACGATATTCAGTTCTTATCACCACGTGACCTCATTGAATTCACACTAACAAAGCTCCATTCTAGCACTTCACTTGGGACTGACCTAGGGACTATGAATAAATTAAGCGTTCTGGAACTAAAAATTGCTTACTTGTATCGAACACTTCTTAAACCTTAAGAGGTATACTATCGTGGAAAACTATCTGCATATAAAGAAGTGAAGTGTGGCGGTGCCTTTCCAAATCTCGACATCGCCACAACCACTATCGATAAGCACTAGCCACATTTGCGGCAGACGAAAATCTTCAAAATCTTTTTCGGTCGTTCCCCCTCAATCGAGATTTCCACCAATTACTTCGGATATCCGCAAATCTACTTTCACGCCGTGACGTGCGATCTTTAATTCTTTTAATCCAAAAAAGTACATATTTTCAACTTCGACATGGGTGACGCTGCCAACACTACCCCCGCTGAGGCGGAGCGCTTTGCTATCGGTATCTCATTTGGTAACTCATGCAGTTCGATTGCCCGCATCTCGCCTGTACGTCCTGATATCCATTCTTTGGATTAAAGAATGGGGGCTGACAAATTTATAGGAGGGCAAAGCTGAGGTTATTGCCAACGAGGAAGGAGGTGAGGACAATGAAGCCCAACGATTTGAGATCTTGAATTAACATACTTAGATCGTCAAATTCCTTCCATCCTTTCTTATATCGACGGCGAGGAGTACCACGGCACACAAGCCAAGGCCCAGCTTGTTCGCAACTCGGCCAATACTGTTGCATACTTCCGCGATTTCATCGGCAAGGAATTCAAGTCTATCGACCCTACTCCCTGCCACCAGTCGGCCCACCCCCAGCAGCAGGACTCGACTGTCGCTTTCACCATCCGCGACACCGAGAGCGAGACCCCCAACACTATCACTGTTTCCGAGATCACCACCCGTCACTTCAAGCGTCTGAGACGCTCCGCTTCTGACTACCTCGGTAAGGATGTCAACGCCGCTGTTATTACTGTCCCCACGGATTTCACCGATGCCCAGCGTGAGGCCCTTGTTGCCTCTGCCAAGGCTGCTGGTCTCGACGTTCTCCAGTTGATCCACGAGCCCGTTGCCGCTGTTATGGCTTACGATGCCCGCCCCGAGGCGACTGTTACCGACAAGTTGGTTGTCGTTGCTGACTTCGGTGGCACCCGTTCCGATGTTGCCGTTGTTGCCTGCCGCGGTGGCATGTACACTATCTTGGCCACTGCCCACGACTACGAGCTTGGCGGTGCCTCCCTGGATAAGATCATTATTGACCACTTCGCCAAGGAGTTCATGAAGAAGCACAAGACCGACCCCCGCGAGAACGATCGTGGTCTGGCCAAGCTCAAGCTTGAGTGTGAGGGTACCCGCAAGGCCCTCAGCCTGAGCAGCAACGCTCAGCTGAGCATTGAGTCCCTGGTCGACGGTGTTGACTACGGTTCCACCGTTAACCGTACCCGTTTCGAGCTTCTCGCCGGCAAGGTCTTCACCCAGTTCACTGCTCTGATTCAGCAGGTTGTTAAGAAGGCCGAACTCGATGTCCTTGATATCGATGAGGTGATCTTCTCTGGCGGTGTTTCCCACACCCCCAAGCTCGCCAGCCTGGTTAGCAACATCTTCCCCGAGAAGACCAACATTCTGGCTCCCGCTTCCTCTGTCACTGCCATCAACCCCTCCGAGCTGTCCGCCCGTGGTGCCGCCTTCCAGGCTTCCCTGGTCCAGGAGTTCGACCACGAGGATATCGAGCAGTCTATCCACCCTATGGTCACCGTCACTCCTCACCTGTCCAAGGCTATTGGCGTTGAGTTCACCTCCGAGACCGAGACCACCTTCCAGCCCCTCCTCGGCGCTGAGACTGCTCTCCCCGCCCGCCGCATCGCTCAGTACTTCGCTCCCAAGGAGGGTGGTGATGTCCTGGTCCGCGTGTGCGAGGGTGCTCATGAAATCAAGGTCACCAAGCCCGAGCCCAAGGCTAAGGAGGACAAGCCCGCCCAGGATGAGGATGACTCCGACTTCGATTCCGAGGATGACGAGGAAGAGGAGACCCGCGAGATTGTTTGGAAGACCGAGAAGCCCGTTGCCGAGCTCGCCGTCAAGGGCGTCAAGGCTGGCGGCAAGATCGAGGTCATGGTCCACGTCAACCCTGATCTCGGTTTGCAGATCGCCGTCCGCGAGGTCGGCTCCCAGAACGCTGTCCGTGGCGCCGTCAACGGCTCTGCTTAAGTTTTTTCTCTCTTCCGCTTGTGAGATTAAAATAAAAGACACGGATTTCGTTTACGGTGTGATGATGCATGCATGACTGATAGAGGTTGTGATTTTTCTTTTTGCCCACGATTTGTACTGCAGTTATCGTCATGGAGTCTTTCCTTTTATAGTGCTTAAATAGACTCCGTTCGATGCGACCAATCAATACTGGTTCTCTTTTCTAGCCAACTTCACTTTACTAGGCGCTGGTCATTTTCCGACCTTATTCTGCTTCCTGTGGACTATTCAATGAGTATTCAAGATATGAGTGTATACAATTTACATTCCAAGAATCAGGCAACAGTAGTAGAAATTATATTACAGCTAGATTAGGTAGGTTCGCAACCGAAAGCACAAATTCCTGCATAATCTTCAAATCGGAGAATCGTTGAACCATGGGATTCATGAACAAATCATCAAAGACTCACCTGCCTTCAAATTATGATCAGACCCAAGGCAGGGGGAGTATTGCGCGAAGAATGCTCAATTGCCACCTTATGCAGGAAGGCTGCAGATTTATTAGGCGAGTAAAGATCGTAAGGGTTTCGTAATAGCATGAAGCGAGTGTGGATAGTTCGATCTTCCAAGCTGCATCCGGGTCATTTTGATGCAGCTTGACAAGACCAAAGTGAAACAAGCGGTCTCCTGAAGAAAGAATAAACTCTCAAAGGGGATATCAACGCAGGAAGACAAAGACTGGTGTAGGATGGTCCGGAGATCGACAGTTTCAAAAGTCGACATTTTCAGGTGCCCCGGCTTGTTCTTGTCGAGAGGAAGAAGCGGGCTTCTCATGGATAGGGTACATCCATTTAAGCGTAGTTTGTGGCCTCCTTCTTCTGGCTTTTCACGCTGTTTGAGCGCTGCGAGGAGAAAAAGCCACGGCGGCGCTCCCTGCGTCCACTGTATCCACCGCTAGTATCTTTTCGGCCGACGGCACCACCAAGGCAGTACAACAAGCACGCAAGGAACTGGCAGACAGACGCGGTCCACATGAAGCCGAATGCCTTAGGACCCAGGCGTGCGCTCTGGCCGTTACTATTGAACGCGTTGCGGCCCTGGACAAAGACAGCACTAGGGGTTATAGTTAGCACGTTGTTTCTGGGACGAACTCGTTTCCAATTGCAGTGGTACTTACGTCATGAGACAGGTCGTGATGACCTGGAAAGTCAGAGCGATCCAGGCCAGGAAACCAGAGAGGTAGCCGGCAACGCGGGTGCACATGGCCAGCATGCCAGTGAACAAAGAGCACACGGCGAAGAAGAGACCGATGATGATGAAGGGGAACATGAACCGTGAGGTCAAGAAGTAATGGTTCGTTCTACAGTGTAGGTATGGTTAGCGCGACTCGGTAATGTTAGGATCTATCCATTGATAACCTACCCGACGAACTGATGAGGGACATTTTCGGTAGTGTCGAAGTTGCGGTGGTTTGGGGGGTCGAAGGGGAATTCAACGTGGGTATCACCGCATAGATTCTTGCCATCTACCACTCGACAGAGGTTCCAGAATGTCCAACGCGAGATTGGCGGTGCGCCTGGGATATTTCCCGTGTGCGCCTCGAGGAAGTAGACTCGATTCAGCGGATCGTTGTTGGTTACACCTCCCAACAGAGTGAATAAGATCAGCAAGATCGAACCCGCCATGAAAAACAGGCCCGTGAAGCCTAATGATGCTCCTATAGATGACGATCAGATTAAGGTATTATAAAGTTGTTGATCAGGGGAGGCGATCGACTTACTGCTGAGACCCATTTTGTTTGGGTATTGTAAGTGACACTAGAATTTGATTTGAGGGGCTTTTTTTTTTCCTGGTGAGAGGTGTCTCGTATCTTCAAAGGGAATGGGGTGAAGAAGAGTGTCGAGAGACAAAAGACAAAAGAGATGTCAGAATTTCAAGTGGAAAACGTTAGTAGGTATAAGGCTGTACGAGCAGCCGAAGTATCCGAGGACCACTGCCCAATTTAATATAATGACGAGCATCATCCTTGCTTCTCTCCTTTTACTTTTCTACAAGAATGAATGTATCGACGATCATAACGTCATGGTTGCACCTGATTAGTTAGCCGTTCATAGTTAGCTTGCACTCTACTTTAAAACGCTAGACCATATTGGGTTAGTCTGCTCGGTCCATGACGAAGTCAACGAGCGCAAATGAGACGACTCTCTCAACAACCACCCAATGAAACAAGTGACGTCGACTACATATTAACGTTTCTGCCTTGATCCAGTTTTGACCCTTACCCAAAAAAAAAAATCCTTGTCTGCCCAACCCGAATCGCCAGACTTGAGGGTTACGCATTGCGACCCTTCCCCCCGGTACGACGTTGTAATGGCGACTTGGGCATACCCCCCACTGCCCACAGAGCAGATAAACCGTGAGGCAGACACTGCGCTGGTATGTAAAAACATATATGGACCCTTATACAACAGGCCTTCTCTACATTGAGGCTTGGTTGGCTGTAGCTATAATCCGTGGAGGGGTGTGGAGCTTCTTTAGTATAATGCCAACATATTTACCTTAGGCCCGAGAGTTAGAGTGGCTATTGCATTCGCTGCAGGATTCACTTGCCTCATTGAAGGAAGGTCTTCAAGAATGCGCCGCCCTCCTAGCTCCCCAAGAACCAGGGTCAACATTGGTGTTGTCCTCGCTACGATCGGAAAGTGTGAAGGGCTTCGTGACTAGAATCGGCACTAAGGTTGTAAAGGGAGTATGTCTACCGATTCTTGCCCGAAGATCAGTGAACATGCAACTAAACCGATCCCTCTTTAGGATATTCAACTTCGTCTTGCATCGCTCCCACATCCTCGGGGTGCCCCCAGCACCAGACTGAACCTCTCCCAATCCCCTCAAGCCCCGGAACTGGTACTTCGGCAGCTGGTGTCGGTTCGAGATCTCGTGGCTCAAAGCCTGGATATTGTGGATGTGAGCACATGGACAGGCGATCCTCTCAATGCAGGCTTCATTTTTGGTCAATTGCACCTCTTGCTTGAGACAATCAGCGAGGCGCGACAAATGTTGAAAGGAGAAAGCGATGAGACGCGAGGCAGGTGGTGGGAAACCAGCGCCACTGGAAATGTACGTTCGATCACTTTGACTAAAGTCGTGCGATATTTACTAATATGTATGCTGCATAGATGTTTGACCCTCCGCTTCCGCCACATCTTTCATTCCATCTATCTATCACGGACTCAGCTCTGGTCCTTCTTCTTCGGACTCTAGAGTCTACTGCCCTCAATCATTCGCAAACCCCTTTTTCTTCAGATATCTCCCTGACTGGGTTCTCTCTACGAGATCGGATATTCGGTTCGCGAACGCCAACCCATGACGAGGCCGGTGTCCTTTTTCAATGGCAAGGGGAAGAAGTTCGTGTTAAGGAGAAGATCCGGGTGGAGAGTCAGGACCCCAGTCTGATGGCGGTCATGGCGAAACTATCGGCCCTTGAACATGAGGTGATGCGGTGCGTTTCTGCGCTGCGGATACTCATGGGTGATGAAGATACAGAGAGCGAGGCTTAGCGATTTGATTTGACTGATACCCTATGTACTATATTTGAAATATGAATAGCTGTTTTTTACGATGCTTGATGTGTGATTCGGTGCTCAAGGTGTAGGGCTGTAAAAAGAACTGAATGGGTTTTTCGTAGTATATATTGATCTACCATCTTGAGGCTAGGGCTAGGACATTGTGGAGCGGATGCATAATTTATAATATAACAGAAACAATTGGCATATAATGTACAATATATAAATATTCCTGCCAACAAAAAAACATTCTATGGATACAACACCATATCGAGCCAAAATTCGCCCCAGGGGATAGGGGAACAGCCAATGGGAGGCTCGCAGTTTGTGATGGGCGCAGGGCCGTCTTGGCATCGATTTTCTGGGCTGGGCCATTTTTTTTCTTGCTCTCTCAACCACTTGAAAAGGGACTGTTGACAAGAGCTGGAAAATGTTGTCCAGGTCTTCAGCATCAGGCGCCAGTCGGTCACAATCGCGCGAACTATTTCGCACGTTTGCACGCCCTTCTGGATTGCGACAGCTCCGCGGACCTGTCAACCGTTTGAAACATACACAGCAACGAACTGTTGTCCAAAAGGTGTTGCCTTTGGTCGCGAGTAGCAGTCTTGCACACCGAAGAAATACTTCCGACTATGCAGTATCACAATGTCAGCCTCGGCGGAGGTTTGTGTCAGGCTCAGCATCCGCCGACTCGCCGCCTCAACCCATCCAATCTACCGAACCGGAGGATATCAATACCCTGATCGATCGAATCGGTAAAAACGAGGCGGAAATGGCACAATTACTTGAAGATTTGGAAATTCTGGACGAAGAGGGCGAAGGAGACGAGCTCATCGACCTTATCGGCCAACGAGACGAACACACCGCAGAGTCATGGGTACACATGATCAAACAGCGCTTTGGAGATGAGTTGCCAGAGGGGTTATTGGATGACGCCGAGCTTCAAATATATGCCCGCCTTTATGGAGAACCAATCATTCGGCAGGAGGTTGATTTAATGATCGAGGAGGAAGAGGAAGATCTGAGCTTGCTTCGCGAAGATGGACAAGGAGGATGGGAGGAAGTCGATCTAGAAGAAATCTCCCCCGAGGACGATGTGCCACTCGCTTATGATATGGATGTTTCCCCGGAAGAGCGAGAGACAATTGCCATGCAACGGACTAGAGAAGTGGCAGAGCAGTTGGGCGGCGAGATCATGCTTGAGGAATTCGAGAATGAGGCAGTTCCTGACTCTGCCCCAAGAATGCATCCGCTCACCCTCGAGGGAAAATTCGGAACTGATCCCACAACTATCCATCTGCCCCATGATAGTGTCACTGGTCCTATATCGGTCATTCTGTCGGAATTCTCTAACAAGCACATTTCCGAGACTGCTCGGCGTCTGTTTGGAGGACCTGGGTTGCCCCATTCAAGTACAACGGCGCCCCCGCGTGCCCAATTACCACAGCTTCCTATCGCTCTGAGTGCTTCGCAGCGTCAAATGGGAGAAATGGAGGCCAATGCATACTTGGCAGCCTTGTACCCCGGAATCTACGCATCTACACTTAGTGTTATGGTTGAAATTCGCAAGCGATTGGGTGCCGATTGGATCCGCAGTCTCATTACAAAAGAAGCTGGACCAAGCGTTCTTGATGCCAGCGGTGGTGGTGCCGGCATCCTGGCCTGGAGAGATATCATCCGCGCAGAATGGGAGCTCATGGTGCCCGATCATCCCGCGGGTGCCCCCATCCCCTTTGGCAGATCAACTGTACTGACAGGTTCCGATGCCCTTCGGCGGCGCGCTGCTATCTTGCTGGAAAACACTACCTTCCTCCCACGGCTGCCTGATTATGTCCATGTGCGCGAGAAGCCTACAATTCATGACTCGCGGAAAGCTCCTAAACGCAAACAGTACGATGTCATCATCGCACCGCACTCTCTTCTCGGTCTCGAAGAAGAATATGAGCGTAAACAGCACGTGGAAAACTTATGGTCTCTTTTGAACCCCAATGGAGGTGTTCTCATTCTGCTCGAGAAGGGCCGACAAAAGGGCTTCGAGGCTATCGCTGGCGCTCGTGAAATGCTTCTGAAGCGCCATATCGCAACCCCGGGCTCTACCGAATACGACAACTTCCTCGAATCCCCCGACCAACGCGAGGTCATCGAGAAGGAGCGGGGAATGATCATCGCCCCCTGCACCAACCACTCAACCTGCCCGATGCATAATTCCTCAGGTGCTACCAAAAACCGTAGGGATTTCTGCCACTTCGAGCAGCGATACATTCGCCCTCCATTCCTGCAGCGCATCATGGGAGCGAAGGACCGCAACCACGAAGATCTCAAATTCAGCTACCTCGCCGTGCAGCGTGGCGTAGATCTACGACAAGACCAAGCAATTCGTCAAGATCCTGAGGTCACAGATGCCGCATTCGAAGGATTCGAAAATCCCGAGGAGTCTGATATCCCCAACACACTACCTTTCCATCCTCTATCACTCCCCCGCGCCATCTACCCACCCATGAAGCGCCGCGGCCATGTCATCCTCGATCTCTGTACGCCCGCCGGTAAAATCGAGCGCTGGACCGTCCCGCGCTCCTACAGCCGTCAGGCTTACCGCGATGCCCGCAAGTCTCATTGGGGAGACCTTTGGGCCCTGGGAGCCAAGACTCGCATCCCACGCAACTTGAACCTTGGCGATAAGCATGGTGAGGGTAAGAAGGAGCGGTTGGCTCGCCGTGCGGTGGCCAAGGCTTCTGAGGAAGAGGGAGAGTTTGAGAATGAGGGAGAAGAGGAGGATGAAGATGATCTGATTCATGACTCGGATGTTCCTGATGTCCCTGTCAAGAAGAGGGGTCAGCATATTCCCAGTTGGAAGAAGCATAATGATAAAAAGAAGGTTCGCCAGGCTTCCAACAAGCGTTCTGTCGATGAATAAGTGGCTTTGATTTGGCGCAATTCTTTTTGTGGATTTGGACGTTCGGAAACATGTATTATACTACTAACTACTGACAGCATTTGGCATTGGGACTGGGGACTGGATCTTGTACATTAGGATATTATTCTTGCACTTCTACAGATGTACATATAGCATCTTCACTCTAATCAATGTTTGATATGTATTTTATTGATTGATACAGTATCTGAGGCGTTATTTGGCCTGAGTCGATTCTCCTTTTCTCCAATAAGATGGTCCTGATGGAGAATGTTGGAGATCCCACTAACTCAGTTGTGATGAAGCATGGTCTTGTCATGACCTGCGGGGACTGTGCCAGGCCAGAAGCGCCGGTAATCATCGAAAGCCTGTCATGAGTGTAGCTCTGTAATGAACACGGGGTTCCTCAAATATGCACCGGGCATGAGAGGCATTGATGTCCTGGGGAAGACAGTCGCTGGCTTCAGGCTTGGCTTTATTCTAGCCAGAGTTGATGAAGCAAGCACGGTCAAAAAAGATGTGGATAGAAACCAGATAAAGGCCACATTAGAACCATATTGCTCCTGGCAGGCTGGTCGCTTTTTGTAATAGCAAATATTCTTATCTCGCAAAATGAGACCGCCACATTCACTGTGCAGCCATACTCTTTCGCAACTGCCTTTGCTTCTGCGTACTCTGCAATTCCAATCGATCGACTGCAAATTTGAGCCGTTCTTTCTTCTGCATGAGTCTCTTCAGCTCCGCTGCCTTGGATGCGGCTGCATTACTCGACGAGCCAGCGCCGGGCCCCGCCATGCGACCCCGCAATGAGCTGCTTTGAGGTTGGCCCCGAGTAGCTAATGCCCGGCTCTCCGGGTTGGACGAGAGTCGACCTTCTTGCAGGTCGCATTTCGCCTTGAGGCCTTGTTCACGGCGCGCGAGCTTTTCAATGTGATTCGATGATAGTGTGAGGAGATGGGCGATGCTGGGGGTGATTTCATCAAGGAGAGATTGCTGCGCTTCGCGCAATGTAGGCTCAGGGAGGAGCTCAAAGTGCTATTCAAAGGTAAATGGTTAGACTTCAAGCTTCTCGTTTGTTTTCAGGAATGAAACTTTGTAGGACATACCCGCGTTGTCTGGAGGACTTTAGCTAGACGAGGGAAATCGCTCACGCCTGAATCGAGGGTGGCAATAGAGTTGTCCAGAATCTGGAGAGAGGACTGTAACGATGTTACTGAAGAAGACAATGAAGACGCCATAGTGTGTGATTTGAAGCTTGATTTGGAGATGATTGTTTACAACGCTCGGGATAGATCGGGCGGTAAAAGCGGCATGACACCGCCTTTAAGGCGGCGTGGCCTCCGGACCGGGCAAACTCCCAAACCTCACTTCTCCTCTTCCGTCCTCCTGCCTCACCATCTTCCCGAACCCGAATTCTCCCCGCATTCGATTCACCTGTCACAATGTCTCTCCTCGGAAAGAAGTTCCCCGGCGCTCTGGGTACGTTTTTTTTAGACCTCGATTACAACCTGTCGGAGAACGATATAAGGACCAACGACTAACGCATATGTTCACTTACAGCCAAGCCTATGGCTCCCTTCTTCGCTGCCGGTACGCATACCCTTTAGATCTCGAAATTCCCTGATAATCCGGAATACATGGGTTGTCAATTCGGAATAGCGCACCCTCGGAGCGGTTGTTTGTAGAACATTACTCTGACGATTCTCCTCTCCAGGCCTCATTGTGCTCTACGGCGTCAACTCTCTCCAGAACGCTCTGTCCAACTGTGAGTCTACTCCGCGCAGCTACATCTATATCATCGACGAGTTTCGGGTTCCCATTCGACAATATCCGCGGAACGACACTTCGATGAGCGTCTGCGAACATAAACAACTAACCTTCATATCCGTATAGCCCAGCAGTACAAGAACGATCCCCGCAACCCCAACGCTAAGCCCGCTGGCAAGGCTGACCACTAAATTGGGTCGACAATGAATGCATTTTGAGATCCAACCTGTTCGTTGAACAGGGGCGGGACGAACCGTCGTGATGTGTGGGTGGACGGAGATGGCCCAGTCGACAATGGCCGGCTTGCACTTTTTGTGATTACTCTGCGGGCATCTACCCCTGTCCACGCATATAGACTATACCCACCTCGATGGGGGTGACTTGGATCAATTCACAAGCTGTACCAGTACCAGTACCATTCTGCACAATGTGCTTTTTCCTTCGTAGTGTCTCTTCTGCTGGATGATATCCCATTAATCAAAACCAGACTCTCAGTCAGAGCAAGGAAAGTAGCTTGAGCCGAATATTCCGAGGCCTGTTGTATTATAAGTAAAGCTATAAGGTTTGTGGACTCTATACTTCACATCTGCTTATTGTTACGCCATTCCACTTAGGGCTAATTTTCTACTTCTTTGCGACCGTGCCATATGTTAATATTAGCCCATATTTTCAATACTGTTTCATTTAATTTTGATTGTAACAGCTATCCATCAAAATACTAGTAGTGACATAGGGCTTTGATGCACTCAACGTGAAATCCTGCATCAAGCACGCTAAACCCGATCGGGCACCCAGTTTTCGCCAACTCCGCCTGGCCGAAGGACAATCATTTTCCGACCTCAACTCCGCAATACCCCCCAATTAAACGCGCCAAAATGACTAAAATGGCAGGCCTTTTCCGGCCTAAGAAGCTTGATCTCTCGGGATTTGTCAATACTCGCTTGATTCGGGACCACAACAAGCGCATCGCCTTCGAGCAGACCGAGCCCGAACGGTGCGAACACTATCCTTCTCCCAGAAGCTCTAGCTTGGCCAAGGATGAATATCCCGAGCTGGGAAAATTTGCTGGGAATTGAAACACAAATGCTGACTCTGTATTCATTTTCAGACAAGCCCTCCGTTACATGATCCGCAATACCTCTCTCTCTGGCCGAGTCCGCGCCCAGGCTCAGCTCCAATTGTCGCAGATGCACGCCTACACTCGCCCCACACAGATCAAGAACCGTTGTGTGGCATCAGGAACTGCTCGCAGTGTCTTCCGTGATTTCAGAATCAACAGAGTGAGTGGAAAACGCCGGCCAATGGCCACACATTGTCCGAAGACTTCTGATATCATTTTGCTAACACACTGTCTTCCGTAGTACCAATTCCGTATGCAGGCCCTCGCTGGTGAGTTGCCCGGCGTGAGAAAGGCCAGTTGGTAATTGTATGAGATTGTTGCCGGTGCTCTGTGATATATGGAGGCCTCTGTTTAAACTGTTTGCACGATGGCGTTTTCTTCTTTGCTTCCATTGGGTGGAAGTATGTACAGTATGCAGTTCTCATTTGCAGAGAATCAAATCACTCTTTGTTATTTCGGCTCCTGGCTCAGATTCTTCTGTTCTCGGCTTGTTGTCATTGACTTGTTGACAAGTCCAGGCATCGTTTTAGCCGTGATCTCTGTTTGCTGATGTTGTAGGATAAGGATTTCTTTGTCAATGCTGAGATCGTCTTGATTGGTTTGTTTGCTTCCATTATGATGGACAATTGCAGACCAGCCCGGTTGATTTGATTGATATATCCCCGGGAATCCCATCATAGCAGCTCTGTGCCGTACATCAAGATTCAACTCATAGATTCTCAATACCAAAGCAAGATTCTTCGGCGTAGCCTAGCGGCAATCGCTTCATCGCCGGTCATTGAGCAAACGGGTCGCCTGTCGATGCCTTCCATTATTACGTCGTCGTTGACTGTTGCCCCGTTGTAAAAGCGCGCTGGAAACCGCGGCGCCTTCCGGTTCTGCTTGTGTGGCAGTCTCCCCCTTCTCCCTCCCCTTCTTCTTCCTCTTTGTCCATCATTCATCTTCATCTCTCGTCTCTTTGACTTTCTTCTCAAATCAATCTCACACATTGATTTGAAGCACTAGCAAGATGAACGGCCTTCCGGAGGGTTTCCTTCCTGACGACTCGGTCTTCCCTGAAGACCTGCTGGAACTGGGGTGAGTTTTCTGTAGTTTTCAACGTGACGTGTCAAAATTGATGCCTAACCGTCCATTAAATGACACAGATTTGTCCTCACCAAGGATGACAAGATCCGGTGGAGTGATGCCCCGGGCCAGGGTCCCCGGTACAAGATCAACCGGAGTGACCGCCTGAACAGGGTCCACGTTGAGGCCTTGCACAGTTAGTTAACCCTTAGATCCCTTTCCATAGTAGGGTATAGTCTTGATGAATCATCTGGCGCTGACAATTTCACAGGCGTCATCCGAACCTGCGTCCTTGACCGGCTCACAGGAATGGGCATGGACTTGACGATGATCCCCAAGGATAGCAATCGTCAAGTCCCTATCCTCATGTCAAGCAACATTGATACCGCACCTCGGGTTGTTGTTTTCTGTGGCGAGATTATCGAAGACCTAGGCATGTTCTCGTACCGTGACGCCTGTGACGACGGAATTCCTTTCGGTGCCATCGTCGGCTTTGCAAAGGCTCTGCTTGGTGAGAATGCTCAAAGTTCCCCCAATGCCCTCATCATTGCGAACGCCGGCCATACCGTCTGGTACAATGAGGGTTGGCGCTCGGTAACCTCCGACACCTTTGCCAATAAACACCGCGGCTCTTTCGTGGAGCGCCTACGCCCGGTGACTGATCGTAACGCCGTCAATAGCGGCGTCAATGAGCATATCGAGGACATCTTCCAAGGAATTTTGATGCGCAGCAACTTCAAAGTTGGCGCCAGAATCGATGTCATTGGCCTGTCTGAGGGTGGTGGTGCTGTAATTGAATTTCTGAAGAATCGCTGTGAGTATCTGACCGAATAAGATAGTTAGGGTTTGCTTACTGACATGGCACCTAGGGGGTTTCTGGTTCCCGCACATCTCTTCCATTTCCCTCATCAACCCCGAGTCGATTGTCAAGACTGACCTCAACATCGATGACATGAAGGATCCAAGGTCATTCGCCTGGTTCATGAAGTACCGTGCCCGTGCCTGGACCATCACTGACAAGCCGATTGGCACACGTTTGCCCGGTCTTAACCTGCTTCATGGCTGCAACACGTACTCCTCCGGTGAAGGCGCAAAGTCGACATGCATGATCCCTCGTGGTGTGGGACATATCTTGACATGGATGAACATGATGCACTACTGCCTATTTGGGTTAGAGACTTTCGATGTGGTCCCTGGCGAGACCGATGCCGATATGGAAGTTGTGCTCCCATGGCTGTGCCCCGACACCAAGATTCCTCGGCTCCCTAGCGGCAAGATTGAAGTGCACAGCCTAGAGGTCATGAACCAGACCAAAGGCTACCTAACCGGTGTCACGTTCAGCGACAATATTGTCTCCTTCTTCAATGAGAAGTTGTACCCCCCCTCCGACAGCGACAGCGACGACAACAGTGAGTTTTCGGCGGCTTACGGGGCCGAGAATCACCAATATTATGACGCCCCTCTTCCTTCCGCGTTCCCTGACGCTCCTCCCATTCCGGAAGGCACCTACTACGGCGACGTAATCCGGGGCCAAACTGGCCCGTTTGACCTCAGTAACCTGCAGGACATCCGAGAGGAGGATGAAGGCTGGTAGGCTCTCTGAGGAGTGCTCCTGCTTCCTTCTGAAGAGGCAATGTGCGTTGGGCCTGTCCGGAAGTGTGTTGCCCCTGGAGCTCGTGTTTCCCGGTGTTTTCCCCGGTTGATATTCTTTTTCTTTATTCTTTGAGGTTTCTCGCCAGCAGCTGGGTGCTCTTCCCTCCCTACTTCAGAACAATTTTACCAGAAAATCACAAAATCACAAAAAAAAGGAGGGAAATCTCCCCATCTGCCCAGATAGCGAACAAATGAAACCCATTTTACTGATTTCTCTGGCCTTTTTAGCTATGAGACGTAGGTACACATGTACATGTAGGTATCCTAGAGTATCACGAAGGCACCAAGACCACAACCTTAACCGGCATACGGATTGGATTAACATTAGATTTAAATATCTACAGTTGCATATACAAACGTCGGGGCATCGGAACGTCGCATTAAGCATCTAGGTGGATTACACTGCTGATCACGGACCAGTGATGGACGGAATTCAAGCAGGCATAAGTCTTGGAAGAATCCCTGGAAGTTTTGGAAGACAAATAACATGGAGAATTCCCGCAAGATCAAACATGTTCTCTTCAGTCTTCTCTTCGGTATTCTTTTCATATTTCATATTCTCATCAATGCCCTCTTCAACATTTTCTATATAAGATGGCAAAATCGGTCAAAGAGAACTGGCCCCAAAAAACAGGGCCAAGATAGCCATTTCCAACCATTTCCAACCATTTCTAGTATTTTTCACCGGAAATAGTTTTGATCGAGTAACAAGAAAGGTCCGAGGTCAGAAGAGAAGACAGTTTCCATCGAGTAATCTGATAAAGCGGGCCGTTGATAAGCGTTTGAAATCGCCCGCATTTCGGAGGTGCCCGACGTCGGGAGGACTTTCGCATTGAATTGCAACCTTGGAAGATATACTATACTGCCAGCATGGATTCCGGAGCACAGGTGCATTGGGCATTGTCTCCCAAGTTTTCCCACGGCTACTATCTATAGACCGGTCAAGTAATCGCAACACCGGTTCTAGAATGGCTCGGCAGTGGGCCTGTGGATATTTCTCTGATTCTCTTGGATAGTCTCTTTGAGAAAATAGTGAAATTCCCTAAGGTGGACCCAGACTTATATTTTTCCCGAGGCGTTGGCGTATTTATGTCTTCCCAATCCCCTTATCTTGGGGCTTTTTGCCCCTCTTATCTTTTTCTTCTTATCTGAGCAGCTTCCTTATATTCCTTTATACTCCAAGTCTTAAGGGATATTATTCAAACATGGCAACTAATCTTCCCTCCATTGCCGTTGTGGCTTCATCCCGCGCCGTTATCTCCGGCCGTTTGACCTCTGCTACTGTAGTGATCTCACGGACAACTGGTAAGATCACCGCCGTCTTCGATTCCGTGATTCCAGCATCGGAGTTCCCTGCCGATACTCCTTATACCGATTACTCCCCCCATGTCTTGCTCCCTGGCCTAGTTGATGCTCATGTTCACTTGAACGAACCCGGCCGCACGGAATGGGAGGGCTTCTATACAGGCACTCAAGCCGCTGCCTTTGGAGGTGTGACTACCGTCATTGATATGCCTCTCAATGCTATCCCGCCTACCACTACCGTGAACGGGTTGAAGGAGAAGATCCAGGCTGCCCAGGGCAAATGCTGGGTTGATGTCGGTTTCTATGGCGGTATCATCCCCGGCAATGCAGGCGAGCTCAAGGCTCTTGTCCAGGAAGGTGTCCGCGGCTTCAAGGGTTTCCTGATTGATAGTGGAGTAAGTGAATGATATCGGTATTATGAGTTCTCTAATTAGTATTAACATTCTTGAATAGGTTGATGAGTTCCCCGCTGTTGGCACAGAGGATATTAAGAAAGTCATGGCCGAGCTGGCCGATGAGCCAACAACTCTCATGTTCCACGCCGAGATGATGCCCCCCATCACTGCATCTGTGGGCGACGAGGTTCAGACATCTGATGCCCCTGCCGCCCCTACCGGCCCTCTCGAGGCGTATTCGACTTTCCTGGCCTCCAGACCCTCCTCATTCGAGACCTACGCCGTCGAAAGTATTCTGTCTCTGGCTCATCTTGCTCCCAACCTCCCCCTGCACATCGTTCACCTCTCTGCAATGGAAGCAATTCCCTTGTTGCGGGAAGCCCGCGCCAACGGCGTCAAGATCACAGCCGAGACCTGCTTCCACTATCTGTCCCTGGCAGCCGAGGAAGTGCGCGACGGAGACACCCGCCACAAGTGCTGCCCTCCTATCCGCTCAAAGTTGAACCAGGATAGCCTGTGGGAAGAGCTGGAGAAGCACACCGGCGACGGCGTCATCAAGACCGTCGTCTCTGACCACTCCCCCTGCACACCAGAGCTGAAGATGCTCCCAGCCCATGTGCCCGGCCACTGCGCCGGCAGCAGCGACGAGAAGAGCGGTGACTTCTTCTCTGCCTGGGGCGGCATTTCTTCTGTCGGACTGGGCCTGCCCATCCTCTGGACAGATCTCAGCCGGCGTAAGGGCCTGACTTCCTCGCCAGAAGATGAGAACACCAAGAACGCCCTCCAGGACGTTGTTCGTCTCTGCTGTGCCAATACTGCTGCCCAGGTTGGCCTGCAGTCACACAAGGGTGACCTAGTTGTCGGCTTTGATGCTGATATTTGTGTTTTCGATGACTCTGCCGAATGGACCGTCGAGCCGAGCACCATGCTCTTCCGCAACAAGTGCTCTCCCTACCAGGGTCGTACTCTGCGCGGAATGGTCCGCGAGACCTGGTTGCGTGGTGAGCGTATCTTCAGCCGTGAGCAGGGCTTCGATAGCGAATTGCCGCAAGGCAAGCTGCTTCTTGAGAGACGGGTTTGAGATATTCCCTCTCTTCTTCTTCCTTTTTCTTTTGTCCACGATTGGGACAAGTTGACATCTCGGCAGTGCGCCTTGCTGTCTTTTCTATATTTCTGCCACTTTACATCTCGATCTCAACCTGTGAGATCGAACGATCTGATGAGCACTAATGATCGCACAGCATCCATACCCGTTAGATTAATGACAGCGCGTTGTAGCTTTAGGGATAGAATACCAAAAGCAATCAACTGAATCCATCCAAGTCTCTTTAAACAAAATAGCACGTAAAAATACATCGTGGTCATTATTGTCGAATACTATACAAATACATATTAAAGACTCACATCCTCGCCATCCTTCTTCTTTTCCCACTTCTCCCTAACCCTCCTCCTAACACCCCCATTAACCCCCTTCCCCCAAATCTCCTCCTTCTCCGCCCCGATCTCAACACCCTCATCTACTTTATCCACCTCCCCAACCGCCCCAATAACAACCTTCCTCTCCTTAACCTTTCTCTCCTTAACTTTCGCCCGATCCACTTTCCCAAGATACGTCCAATACAAGAACGATTCGGCAACAGCAACACTCAGCGCCGCAAATAGACCAAGTAGAACCTTAACCGCCTCGCTCGACAGGATCTCTGGCGTCGGGAACTTCGTGAGCGCTGCGTACACGCTGAATCCCGTCACAATCACCGAGATGAAGACGCTAGAAACAAGCGAGATCGTCAGCGTGTCCTCTTCTACTAGGCCATCGCTTGTGTACGGCGATGTGTGCGGATCTGCGTGGTCGGCATTCGGACGGTAGTCGGGGTTTAAGAGGCGGTTGTAGGATTCTTGTTCTACTACGGCGAGGAGGCGGGCCTTTGATGCGAGATATTCGGCGCTCTGGATTTTGCGTAGATATTAGGACCTAATTTTGGTATGGTTTCATATATTCGAGGAAGGAAGGGAAGGGGTGGGTGGGATGGGTTGGTGTATAGACCACGTACGGGCTCTGGCTTCTTTGGCGGCGGAGGAACGTAGACTTTTGTGCCGCGGAGGAGGGAGCTGAGGACTGTTGGTGTATGAGAGGCATGTTCTTTGTATTCTGAGTCGTTTTGGAGGTATCTAGCGAGCCGGATCAGTTGCTCGTGGGCTATTGGGCCCTGCGCTTCGAGCGTGGCAGGCAGGTCTAGCTCCTCGTGGCGCGAAGCTGGAATAGCTTCGAACGCGGCGAGGATGCGGTCTGTCGTAAGAAGGAGGACCATGATACAATCCAACAAATTCAACAAGTTAGGGCAATTAAGGAAGAATCCATGTTCAATTCATCGGAGAGATAAAGCGGAGACCCCCCAAAAAAGTGGCAGTTAAGCTCCTCCCCACATCGTCATCTTCACTCTCTTCTCTCTCTATCTTGCATATTCGCGACCATGGCGGACTCAAAGAAGAGGTAAATCCCAAATTCCTATTCCATTTATAGAAATCCCCTTCTAGCTTCCAAACCTCCAACTCCAATCCCATGCCCGCATCCACAGAAACAAGAAAACTGACCCCTCCAACCCAGCACGGTAACAACACAAACCAACCCGCGCGGGATCCCCGTCGCCCCCTTCATCGACAATGTCAGCGACTATGTCTCCTCCCGCGAGGAAGTCGAGCCCACCCTCCGCTCCTTCCAGGAGATGATCTCCAAGTACCAGTTCATGGAGGTGAACACCCAGCGCCGCGGCCAGGGCCTGCGCGAGAAGATCCCCGATATCAAAAAGACGCTGGAGATGGTGCGGTTCTTGATGCTGCGCAAGGAGGTAAATATCGCCCCCGCGCGCCTGTGACTCTATTCATACTATCCAAGAGAAAAAGCGATTTGTGGAGCTGTCTATGGGGGAAAAAAGACAGGCTTTGGAAATTGAAACTGAAATCCAAATTGAAATTGGGAATACCATTCACTGACACTCTACTTGTATAGTCCAACCCTGACTCAGACCTCGAGACTAACTTCGAACTCAATGATACCCTTTACGCTCGGGCTTCGATCTCGCCTGCTGATGCTGAGGAGGTCTACCTCTGGCTTGGGGCGAATGTTATGTTGGCGTACCCGCTCGCCGAGGCGGAGACTATGCTGGATGAGAAGCTCGGTGCTGCGGAGTCGAGCTTGCAGAATTGCGAGGAGGATCTGGAATTCTTGCGCGAGCAGATTACGGTCAGTTTATTATTGCAAGAGGCATGGGATTGGGATATTGGCGCTTTTGCTAACAGTTTATTTTTGCAGACATTGGAAGTTGCCACGGCGCGTGTTTACAACTGGGACGTTGTAGAAAGGCGTAAAGAGAAGGCTGATGGCAAGGGTGATGAAGAAAGTAAAAAATAAGCGCCCTGGTGGCTGAATGTGTTGATTTTGAAGGGATTTATGGAATATTATAAAAATTTATGATCTATTATCTTCCAGGTTAAATATCAAGGGGAAAAAATCAAGGAAATATTGAAATAAAATAATGGATATGAGAAGCAGAATAAGCTCTAAACCTCCAACCTGATGCCCTATGCATATAAAATGAAAAAAAGAGACGCATGTCATGACTCGTGAGGCAAAATAGAAACTCGCGCAAAAGAAAAAGAAAAAGGAACAGAACACACACAACCTCTATTCTTCCTGAGGTTCGAGGACGCTACCTTCACTAGGAACATCTCCCGATCTGCGCCGCCGTACTGCATCAGGGGGATCGAGGATGGCAGAAGATCTCTCGTGCGCTGCTGTATCTCAAAACAAAAACAAAATGCTAATCATTCAACGTAGGAGAACAAAATCATTGGAACATGTTATGACCTAGCCTGTCGGCACCTGAAGCAGCTCGGTCACGCATCCTTTTCGAGATGTCAAAACCAGTTTCATCACCGACAAAGGTCCATTCTTCAATATCATCAAGGTCGTCATCGCCTCCATCTGGGGAGGTCTTCGCTGTAGGTGTAGGGGAGAACGGGGTGGATGAGGCGAGCGACTTTTGTCGGGCTAAGGTCTTCGCGTATTCAAGATCGCGATAGAGGGCCTGGATTGCAGTGGCTACACCATCTTCCTAAACAGGGAATATCAAATTAGCACTCCATCCATCTAGCCTAAGTAGGACTTGACACAACTCACATTGCGAATCTGAATGCCCAAATTCCGTGCCTTAACAATCATGCGTTCGCTGTGCGTCGCCTCCCAGAGAGCTCGGGAGAAGACACTGACATTCAATTTCTTCATGCAGATACCAACACCAAGGTCCTCCACCCGGGAGCCGAAGAAGAACTGGTCTCCAAAGAATGGCTTGACAATGGTGGGGACGCCGGCTCGAAGACTTGCGCCGGTGGTTCCTGCTCCGCCGTGATGGGTTGCAGCATCGATTTGAGAGAAAAGCCAGTCGTGGGGTGCAGATTGGATCTGATGAATCTCTGCTGGTAGAGGTATCTCAGTCTTCGTGCTAGCTGGGTCACCAAGCCTATCCGACCACCCCTTCGAGAGAATGCATCGGACATCTGCTTTCAAGACTGATTCGATGACAGTCCGTGTCAGGGCAGAAGGATCCGAAACCACAATGGATCCGAACCCGATGTACACGAGCTTCTTGCCATCAGCTCTGGCCTGCGCAATGAAGTTTGATAGTTCAATTGGCGGAGTCCAATCTGTGCCCTCATTTAAAAACCAGTAGCCAGTAATGCGAATCCAATCCGGGTAATCGAGAGGCGGGGCCACCACGGATGGCGAGTAATTGTAAAGGAACGGGACTTTGTTTTGCTGCATCTTGTCCAAGGTTGTAGCCTTCAATCCCAACTCATTGTTTCGCCACCGGTTCACTTGTCCCGCGATGGCCTTCCAGAAGATGTTGTCGAACATGACGTATGTGATGTAGTTGTATGCTCCACCCATGCGATTCTCTGGTACTGCGAAAGCATGAGGATAGGCTCGTGTTCTTGTCCATGGCATGGTGAACCCGCGGAAGTACGGAATCCTCAAAGCCTCTGCAATGTGAACCCCGGCCATGGCGCTCGGTGACTCGATTAGAAGGTCACTACCCTGACAACCAATCCAAGCGGACGACAAAAGATCATCGATCCACCCTCTGAACTTCAATGAAGCTTCCCTGAGGAAGGAATATGTGAACATCCCGTTCTCTACACAAATTCGCATTAGCTCCGCAGGATCGCCATCGACGGGAGCAAAGTCAATTCCGTGCTTTCTAATCCAGGGCTCAAACTCTGCGTGAGTTGCAATCTTGGGCCTGTGCCCCTCCGCAAGCAGTCCTTTGCAAAGCGCGATGTACGGTTGTACATCGCCCCGGGAGCCGATAGTCAAACATGTAATCCTTAGAGATTCGGGAGGTTTGAAGTTGATAATGGAAGCGCGAGGATCATCAAAAAACGGGTGTATCTCTGATGAATCTTCGCTGAGATTCGGGCGGGTGTCATGTTCTTCAGGGCTGTCTAGTCTTGCTTCCTGAAGCATGCGGTGCTCAGCCTTAGCTGCTTCAACCTCGTCTTGTTCTTCATCTGCTAGCAAGCCAGATTCTACCAGGAATTTCACGGACTCCAGATTTTGATGCAATGTGACCGCACAGTCATCTCGTGAATCTGAAGCGTTGAATTCGAAGAAAAGTTCTTCATGGCCACGGATGATGACAACAAGCCCGTGGTATCCAAAGCGGAAGCCTTTCTCTTTTTCAACATTCTCGATATCTTTGAACGGTAAAATCATTTTGGTCCGAGTACCAGGAATCAAACTGCGGAAGCAAAGTTTCTTCTGACTTATGTAGATCTTGCCGTAGAGCGGGAGCACACGATGCAAGTAGGCGTAATAAGTCGCCTGCAGTCTTTCTGTAGATGGAAGAGCAAAGTGTGCACGAAACCGGTCCCCATAATTGAATGCGCCTTCGTTATCTTCAGGATCAACATTCTGGTCTGTGAGCAATGGCCCTTCCCGCTCTCCATAATGCTTCTGGCCACCAATCCACATGCCGGAGACCTTTTCTATATATCCCATTGACTCTGTTGCTAACAGCGTACTCATCTGTTTCGAGCGACTCTTCAAGTATTCTGCGAACCCAGCGGCGCGTTGAAGGGGATATACGCCTGCTTTGACGAGGTCGTTCAGATGAGTAACCGAGCTCGGTCTCGAGGATTCCATTGGATTAGTTTGACCAGTAGTATATCGCGCATCTTCTGTGACCTCATTACGACCTAATGTTCCAGATGGAGAGCCTGCCGCTGCACCCAAGTCCAGCCGCGCAGACGCAGACGGAGTTGTATCATCAGGACTTCGTCGAGCAGTTTCTCCCACATCCAATGGACGCCTCTGCAGTGTGCGCATAGTAGGTGCTTGAAAGACGTCGCTTCTGTTCAGTATCTGACTGGCCGATTCAGTAGTTTCTGTCATCGACTGTATAATCGGCGATGATCCAGTCCCTGGCTCCGCAAATGAGTCCACCGAATCTTGATTTTCGTTTCCTACACTGGAGCCTCGCTTGCGTGGAGAGCCTTCCTGCCTCTGATCGGATACCAGAATGCTGCTCACTGACTGTCTTCTATGGGCAGCACGACTTGATTCGGGTTTGATATCATGTTGACCCTGTGGCTCTTTCGTTGCGGTAGTAGCCGACGCAGCATTGACCAGGCCTTTGATGTAGTTGAATGCGTCCTGGCCCGAATCAAAAAATGAGAAAAAGTACTGGAAACTGATCAGCAATGAACATAGTAATATTTCGTCCCGCGACCTACCTCATCAATTGCATATGTTTCGCCGCTGTCGAGAACTCGAATCTTGAATGTCTCCGCAAAGTCGGCCATTGGGCTCTCTTCCAGATCAATGACATTCGCTATTGGAAATGATACTTTAACACTGTCACCTTCATTATGCGTCCGGAAGATGACTTTCTGGAGGGCCTTCACCCATTCCTTTGCACTGGTAGAGCTATCTGCTTTGAACAAATAAGTCCGCTGATCAGTGGTGACCTGGAAATCCTTCCCATCACTGTCTTTGCGCTCTGCGAGAGACGCAGAGATCCCATATCGAAGATCGACGTGCCCACTGGGAAAATACAGATTGGAGGGATCTGCATAGTATGAGAGGACATCACCCTTCAAAGCAAACCAATAGCGATTATACGCAGGGTTTTTGCGGCCGCGTTTGGATAGGTAACCCGACTTTATTGCCACGTTGGACTTCTTTGGAAGGTAGGCATAAAAGCAGATGTGACCTTCAGTCACATACATGTAGCCTTGAAGAAGCATGCTTTGG